CATCCTTTTCTTGTTCCTGACATTAACAGAAATGCTCTTGAGTAGTATTTCAAAATTGTGATAGAAGGAACACGAGAGTTCTGGGAAATTCTATTAATAGGTAGGCCATGGGAGAGTGTCCTAAGGTCAGATAATTTTGAGAAACCATAACTTTGGAAAGTTAATGTGTGAACTATGAAACTCAAAAGCAGTGGAACAGTAAGCACATATAATGTCTCAGAAGGGACATGTGTTCCCACAGCAGGTCCATGAACTTCATCAATAGGTCCAGTTTAAGAAAGGTGACCTCAATATTTATTTAATTTATATTTAAGTAAACATTTTACTTGCACGACTTACAAACTTCTTCAGTTAAAAAAAAAAATAAAAACAAAACTATTAGTTTCTGAGATATTTGGATCTGCCAGACAAGGACATCCATAAAGGCAGAGGCGTGGCCACCTTGGTCACTATTCTATTCCCAGCAACAAGAGAGAGACCAGGGAAATAAGACGCATTTAGTTAGTGCCCGTGGACAATGTGCCGACGAAGAGAGAATCTTCTCCCCCAAGCTTACTTCGCGTAACTCACACGCAGACTTCTGCTGGGAAGTCGCTGGTCTGCTTACTGCCTACGACTCGGCCGCTTCTGCAGCCTGGCTTTCCCTATTCTTGCCTGGGGTGCCCACTCCTTTTCCTTCCAATCATAGCCAGGTTTCAAAGTCTAACTTAAATAAAATCTCCCTATAAATGGAATTATAATCCTATACATACAAAACGCACTACATAAATACGTGTAACTCAAGGTCATCTCTATAGAAAGCAAAGCATGTACACCAGGCAAACAGGTCTTCGATATTCATTCATAATTTATAGAGCAAGTTATTTATGCTATTTATGACAAATATGGTGATGGTTCATTTTATGTCAACTTGACTGGGTCACAGGATACCCAGGTGGCCGTACGTTACTCTGAGTGTGTCCACGAGGTGTTTCTGGATGAGATTAATGGTGGAGTCAGTGGACTGAGTAAAGCAGATTGCTCTCCCTAAGTGGGTGGTCTTCATCAATTAACTGACGACCTAAATAGAACAAAGAGGCTGAGTAAGAGGGAACTTCTGCTCTGGATGCCTCCAGCTGGGACACGAGTCTTTTGCTTGAATTGAAACATCAGCTCTTTGTGGGTATCCAGCCTGTCAGCTCTCAGACTGGTATTTACACCACCAGCTCTCCTGGTTCTCGGAGGGAACGACGCCATTGGCTGTCCTGGGTCTCCAGCTGTGGACTGCAGGCTTAGGACTTCTCGGCCTCCATAATCATGTCAGCCAATTCCATATATATATATCTATAAATATATATATACACACATACATATATATATGCATCCTTATTTGTTCTGTTTCTCTGAGAACCATAACTAATCTTTATTTTAATAAGCTACTTATTCTTACAACTCTAGAGTTTTCATTCACAACAGTTGATAAGCACCTGGAACACAGGTGTTACATGGTATTTAACAAGATTAAATTATTGTCCTTCCTTACAATTTTGCCAGAGCTAACAGAAAAGACATCCACTCTTGCCCTGGGATCCGCACCCAGGAGCCGTTTACCAACAAGAACGAACCTCTCTGAGAGCAAAGCCACACAGATGGGGGCAGAGCAGAGAGATGATGAGACCACAGTCCTATGGGAAGAAACTCAAACCCCTGAATCCAGCTTTATCTGATGCCAGCACGAGTCCTGGACTCCTCACTTATGTGAGTAAATAATTACTTTCCAAATTAGAGTCAAGTGTTATTATTTGCAAATAAAATACTCTTAACGAATACAACATTCTCATGTAAAAACTGGGGAAGATGAAAAGACTGCCATTGGCTTTGTCCAAAGTATTAAGGTCAAAAAGGAATTAAAACATTAACAAAATTAAAAGTACTGACACTAGTATGTCACGGTAGTTGCCCCTTATCCACAGTTTCGTTTTCTGTGGTTTCAGTTATCTGTGGTCAGCTGCAGCCTGGAAACATTAAATGAAAAATACTGGAGCCCTGGCCAGTTTGGTTCGGTGGTTAGAGCGTCGGCCTGCGGTCCAGAGAAACCCGGGTTCGGTTCCCACTAAGGGCATATACCCCGGTTGCGGTTTGTCCCCGGCCCTGGTTGGGTTGTGTGGGTGGCAGCCACTCGATGTGTCCCTTTCACATCGATGTTTCTCTCTCTCTTCCTCTCTCTCCATCTGAACAAAAAATGAAAAAATGTCCTTGGATGAGGATAAAAAAAAAAAGAAAGAAAAATGCCGGAAACAATACTTAAGTGTTCGTGTGTGTGCTGTTCTCAGCAGCATAATGAAATCTTGCCCACCCCTCACTGTCCCGCCCAAGACACGAATCACCCTTTCTCCAGGGTACCCTCTGTAGAGTCTACCCACCTGTTAGTCACTTAGTGGCCATCTGCCATCAGATGGACTGTCGCAGCATCACAGTGCCTGTGCTCCAGGAATCCGTAGTTTACTAATAATGGCCCCAAAGCACAGAGTAGTGATGCTGGCAATCTGGACATGCCAAAGGGAAGCCATAAAGTGCTTCCTAAGGTCAAAGTTCTCGACTTAACAAGGAACGGAAAAAAATCATTTGCTGTGGTTGCTAACAGCTACAGTAACCACAAATCTTCTATCCATGAAATCGGGAAGAAGGAAAAAAGAAATTCGTGCCAATTTTTTGCAGTCACTTCTCAAACCACCAAGTTACAGCCACAGTGGTGGTGTGTAGTTAAGATGGCAAAGGCATTACATTTGGGGTGGAAGACAGGAACAGAAAACGTGTTCCGATGGATGGCAACATGTTGCATCAGAAAGTACTGAGCCTACCTCAGCAAGGGATCCCCTGAAATGAACGACATCAGCCAGTTACCACACATAAAAGATCGCTGTACAGATACAGAAACAGGTTTGGACCAAAAAATATAGAAGCTGCCGGAAGAGGCTGCTGCCATATTCGCAGCGGAGGTGAGGAAGTGGACCAGGGTTCAGGGCTATCCTCAGTATCAGGCATCTCTGGGGGGGGGGGGGGGTCTGGAACGTATCTATCACTGCAGATAAGGGGGTTGCTACATTTGCCAAATTGAAGCAGATGCCATAGAGTTCCTAGAAACTCTAGACACCTCCTAATTTTAAGCCATTACATTTCCATACTCAGTGGAGCGCACGAGTTTTCCATTATTGGTAATTCTAAACTTCTAATTACCGAGTTATCTTCAAAGACCAAACGTCTTGCCAAGGTTTCCAGTTTTCCAGAGTCAAGGTTAAATGAATGCATTATTTATCTTTCATTTTTAAAAATGTCTGTATAACCCGAATTGAGCCCTCACTGCATGTGCCAGGTGGGCAGCCAGCATTCGCCCCGCAAGGCACCTCCCCCAGGGAAGCCCCGCTGCTGCACACGGCATGTCCAAGGACAACGGGAGACCGAACAGCGGGCCGAGCGGCGGCAGCGGCAGCAGCGCCCAACACTGTCAAGAGCAAACCACGTCCCCCACACTGTACGAGTGTCTCAGAAGTATCCCATTCAGTCATCACAATTATCTTCTGAGTTGGATACTATTATCCCCTTTCTATAAATGAGAAACCTGGGGCTTAGAGAATGACAGGCAGAGCCATGACCTGCGCTTCGCATCTGAATCAGTCTGGCTTTGAAAACATCCCAGGAAAGCCCACAGTATCATCCAAACTGCATCTCAAGTTGCTTAGTAAAAACCTGAAGTCGTCTACACCACTTTTGTTCTTGAATATGGCTCACACTGTAGTCCCTTCTTTATTTCTCATCTCTAGAAAAGGTGAAGACAGATGCACAGTAAAGGAGATGCATATTATTTATTTCAGCTCAAATAAATAAAACAGCAACACTGAGTTATAGACTTAATGCTTTTTATTTTACAAACTGTTCCAAAAGTGGGCAAACTGCAGATAGAAAGAAATTTTCATTCCAATTCCCGTGCATGTTAACAGCTGTTACTAAACTGTCAAGTCCTGTCAGAGGAGACCCTGCCCCACTGTGAGGGGACAGCTCAGGTCTTGAGAGATGCTTCACTACAAGCTGTCAGATAACAGATATGCAAAATACATCTTTTAAAAATCACATTTTGCACAAAAACCACATTTTAGGCATCTCGTCAGAAAGATGCATATGATTATATGTAAACAGTCTATAAGTGTAAGATGGCATCCAAAGCATTAATTAATCCCATGGCACGAGGTTCTGAGCTTATATTTACCCACATAAGCACAAGCCATACACACACAGTCATGTACAGCCACGCACCTCAGTGACGGGGACACACTCAGGAATATGTCGTCAAGTGATGTCGTCACTGTGCGAACATCACAGAGTGCACTCACACACACCTAGGTGACACAGCCTGCTCCGCACTTCGGCACATGGGACAGCCTACTGTTCTCGGGCCACATGCCGACACAGCATGCTATGTACAAAAGAGATTAGATCTTCGCAGTAATCCTACTGCGGGTCTGCTGCGTGAGCAATGGAGTGGGGAAAAGATAACCTCTTTCTGTTAATAATACATTACTATTGCACAACCACCCCCAAGAAAATCCTGTGTGTAACTAAACTTAATTTCCACTACAAGCATGAGGGTGGTATTTCTATCTCTTTTAATTCTGAGTAGGGCTCAGAAAAGTCCCAATTTCATCTCCCAGTAGAAAGATAACGTTGACCTTGAATAATAAACCTCACCCCTCAAGCCACATACACCTTTAACCCTGCATAACCTCACAGTCTGTAGAAAACAGAAAAGGCTCTAAATGGGTATTTTCCAAAATGGACTGAGATTCTCCTGGGTCCTACACAGTGTAGTAGTTACTGCCTCTGTTCCTAACCTCTTCACAGTGAGTACATACACACAGGGTCATGAATATAGGGACATGGAGACCCAATGCCATCGGTGCCCCTCGTCTGACCAAAGCACCCAGGACAGCCCCCGCTGCTGCGTGAGTGCAGCACATGGTACTTACTGGGGAAGTAGGACATCCCTAATGAGAGTCAGAAGACTGCTGCTGGGGTCGACATTCGCAGCCTCCTCGCCATCCCCAGCCTCCTGGCTCACGAGCAGAGAGGTGGTTTCTGAGAGCAACCGCAGGCTGAAGAGTCTCCACTCCACTTGAAAGGAAAAGGATGCCAAGAATGTGACTCATGGAGATGGAATGAAGCAGAAGGTGTAACTGAGGGAATTCTGGCGGATGTGGTCACTCACCATTTTGGCTTTGAACCAAGGAGACCAAGGGTGGCAGGATATAATCAACAACCTACAAGAAAAGATGTTAAAGACACGGTTCAAACCTCCACAAACACGAAACTGTTAACAACCACTATCTCTGCTTTTTTCCACTGACAGAATCACTAATCAAAGGAGTGGGGGGAAAATCACCAGCTAAATTTATCCTGGATTTAAATTCTGCATGACATTTAATAAACCACCAAGCTCACTTAACTCTGAAAAAGTCCTCAGGTCAAAATGACATGATCATCAAAACAGTAATCCATCAAAACCTTCAGGGTTCATGAAAAGAATTTTAGCATTTAATGCAAAATCTGATTGTCAGGGGTTGACATTAAACCATCAAATTAATATATATAAGCTGGTGATCATTACTCAAGTTTAAGATAAACAACGATCAAAATGTTGGGGGAAAGGAGACGCATAACCCTCATGCTTTGTCAAATACATCAAAGAGCTATGACAAGTTAATCCTGGTTATTTTTAGAAATAGATTCAGAAGATGTAAATCCATTATACAAACCACCTCTATGATTTCCTAGTAATATCAGACAGAACACATTCAAATATGGTCTGAAATCTCCAAAATAATTTTTCCCCAAATATAAATGGACAATGAAGAAAGGACAAATCATTCCCACAGTCTTAATTTTGAAACCTACTATCTCATTTGATAAACTATTTTGGCAACAATAAATAAAATTCCTGATAAAAAACATCAGAAGCTGTTCACAGCCCACCACCACCACCTTGCTGTCTAAACCAATGAAATGATGCCCTCCCTGCACAGGTAAAGCCCCTCGCGCCTTACCAACCACATCAGCAAGGCTCCTGTACAGTAACGCAGGATTACAATGGAGAGAGCTGCCAGACACAGGCTTTATTTAAGAAGGAATTCTTACAGAAGCCCAAAGACAAGACGAGAGACAAAAACAAGGACATCAGAGGGACTATTACCTCTGAAACTTAGATACAGCAAACAGTAAACACAGCCTACACAGCCTGCCGGAGGAGAGCCAGCCAGAGGACAGCCAGCCAGATAAACATAAAATTTCACACTGAAGGCTCATTTATCTCAGTTCATTCCATTAGGTTTGTTTCTGTACTGGTTTAGGTGAATCAATTCTGTAACAATTTTAGGTGTATTAGGATTAAGCAAATAAGAAAATATGCTAATGTTGTTAGCAGAATTTTTACAAAGAAAGAGGAACACAAATATGGAACAGGGGAATACAAGAGGGGACTATGTGGGGATGGACTAGATTTGAAGACACTGGTGTGAATTCATGATTTCAAAGTATATATGTGTATATACATGCATGATATATAAGTATGCATATGAGTGGGTTATATGCGAGTGTTCATACATGCATATACATGTTTGTATTTCCCAGCGACATTTCCTGGAAGGGTCTAGAAGCTAAGACATCCAAGAAGATAGCACACACAGTTCCCTGACTGTGGTCTCTAATGCCATTGCCCACCAAAGGGACCAGGGCTCCTCAGAGAAAGGACTGATCCCAGGGCCAGGCCAGGGGAGGTTACCAGCTGAGGCAAGAATTCCCGGTTGGCCAGAAAGTAAAGAAGAGCACAAACAATGACGGAGTAGGCCACAAGGACACGTGAGCTAACTTGAAAGGGTTTACCCTGGCCAAATCTGGTACAATCTGAGCGCCCAAATAATTGTAGTAATGAAACCATTGATAAAATAGAAAACTGTGGTAGACAGAATGTTGACAGACAGATGTCCACATGCTGAAACCTGTTGATTGGTCGTTACCTTACACAGCAGTAGAGATTTCGCAGGTGCCATTAAGAGAAGGACTTTGAGATGAAGTGGTCATTCTGGATTAGACTGGTGAGCGCAATGTAAGAGCAAGGGTCCTTCAAGAGGGACACAGGAGGGTCACAGTCAAAAAGGGAGATGTGAGTGACCACACAAGCAGAAGTCAGAGAGAGATGTGAAGATCCCGTGTTGCCAGCTGTGAAGACGGAAGGCCACAAGCCAAGTCATGAAGGCAGCCCCAGAAGCTAGAAAAGTCGAGGAAACAGACTTTCCCCTTCGAGCTTTCAAAAGGAACACAGGGGTGCTGACATCTTGATTTCAGCCTCAAAGACCCATTTTGTACTTCTGACCTTCAGAACTGTGAGACAATAAATCTGTGTTGTTTTAAGGCACTAACTTTGTGGGAGTTGGTTACAGCAACTATAGAAAACATAGCAAATATGAATCTATACCAATGCTTAATTGATTGATACATAGATAACTAAATAAATAGGATAATTCATATCAGTTAACTTTGCAAAAAACAGGCTTACATTTATTAAGTTCCAAACACCTTTTTCTTATTTATTAAAAATATTTTCATATTTATGTAAGCTTTTTAATGGAATATAACATGCATACACAAAGGGGTACTGATCCTAAGTATATATCTCCATTATTTACAATATGAACACACTCATGAAACCAGCACCCAGATTTAAAAAAAAAAATTTTTTTTTTTTAATTTTAAAAAATTACCAGGACATTCCAAAGCGCCCGCACAGCCCATGCCAGTCACTATCCGTCCAAAGGGTAACCACTATCCTGACTTCTAATAAACTGGTTTTGTCACTTTTTAAACTTAATGCAAATGGATCATGATATGTTGTTACCTTTGTTGTCTTTGCCTCAGTATTAAATTTGTGAGATGTATTCATGTTCTTAAGTGTAACTGTAGATCATTCATCCTCTTTGCTACATAGTATTCCAGCATATGACTACATCAAAATTTATTTATCCATTAGGTCGTTGATGGGCATTTATATCGTTTCCCATTTGGGGCAAGAAGCATCTTAGTGTGTGTATTTTGGTGAACATACGTACACATTTCTATTGAATACGTATTTAGAGGTGAAACTGCTGAGTCATGGTATATACATATATTCAGTTTCAGTAGCTGCTACCAGTTTTCCAAAGTTGCTGTACCAACTCCCACTCCCACAAGAAGTTTCTGAGAGTTCCATTTGTTCCATATCTTCCCCAACTCTTAGTATTCACTCAAAACTTTGGTTTAACAAAAGTAAATGACTCAGCATTTATTAGCCTCCAGCCTTTTGGTTTAAAACTTACAAAAGAACAGGCTCTTCATAAAAAAGATATTATGATTTAGTTTATTTTTGTAATTAAAGAAATTGAAATATATTTTAGGAGACATGTATATTATTACCAGGATTTTCTAATAAAGAATCACCTTCATTTTTACCTTTGCTATTATAACATATTTTGAAACTGCAAGGAATGGAACAAATTCCCTGTACAAATCAAATCACTGTGGTATTTCTACCTGCCCTGTGGGCCACACTGATGATTTCCAACTCGGAGGCACTCAGTGGTCTAAGCTCTGGGAAAATCTGAGTTAAGCACTCATGCTCAGTGAGAATGAAGTGCATGTAACCACTTCCATATAAGTATTGATCAGCAGCCTTGAACATAGTTTGTGCAAACATTTCAAACAATGTTATGCTCCTTGGGATGCTGAGTTCTCAATTTCATGTATTCCAGTCATGCTCAAGAAGTGGTGATTAGAGGAGTTCCCATGAGTTATAGCATTAAAAATATGTTTACGGCCCTGTTCAGTTTGGCTCAGCGGTTAGAGCCTCGGCCTGCGGTCCGGAGAGACCCGGGTTCGGTTCCCGCTAAGGGCACGTACCTCGGTTGCAGTTTGTCCCCGGCCCTGGTTGGTCGTGCGGGTGGCAGCCACTCGATGTGTCGCTTTCACGTCGATGTTTCTCTCTCTCTCTCCCTTTCTCTCTCTCTCCCTTCCTCTCTCTCCCTCCCACTCTATCTGTACAAAAAATGGAAAAATGTCCTCGGGTGAAGATAAAAAAAAAAAAATACTTTTACGAAGTCCATGAGCTGCAATGATACTGTTCCTATCATAATACACAGTGTAGTTTCAATGACTATTATGATAACATTTCATGATTAGAAAATAAACTATTAAATGTCTATTTAAATGTAAGTACAGGTATTTGTAACTACTAGATCACAAAAAAATTAAAATATACACCAGGTTGTTGCTCGTTAGAGAAAAGAATCAATAAACAACACTTACGCAAATACTCTCTCAATGGAACACTGAGAAATCTTTACTCAGAAAGTGATGATAAGAAACGGGGTGCCTGCTAATAGCGGGCATTAATTGGATTAACTCTCTCACTGAAACCAATGAAAAATACCAGATACTATATAAAAGAACAAAACCTTAAAACTACCGAAGATATGCAAAGACAATGGGGAAACTTTCAGACCGATCCTGAAAGCCTTAACTAGAGAGCTGAGTTGAACTCAATTCTCAGTGTGCACATTTGTATCCGCTTATCTTAGCCCCCACCATGTACTGACTGTGCCCGGGAGGCACTTACAATAATACAGACACAGGCTCCAGGAGGGCCCACGGGGGCAAGAGGCAGGGGGCTGGGCACAGGTCTTCCCCGCGTGCAGATTTGTGAGTCTACTACCTGAGCTGGGCCCTGGGGAGCGGGCACTACATACGCAGGCTGGGGGAAACCAGATCCGGTCTCCAAGCCCCCCACACACATTCACTCTCCTGGGAAATGCTGGGAAGGCTGCCCTGGGAAGTTATGATCTCAGACTACAGTCTCAGGGATTTGCAAAAGGGGTATAGGGGACCTTAGCCTAAGGCAGTCCTGACTAACAGAGCCCCGGACAAACATGAGGCCTCTGGGGGCAGGGAACACCCACACGAGGCTTCCGGGAATGCCTGTGACCAGCAAGCAGTGAGTGTGAGAAGGTCTCCAAGAACACAAGATGCCTGCGACCAAGATATAACAGACACCACAGTACATCGCGATCTTCCGATATTGCAATTATCACACATGGCATGAAACAATTACATCTAACAAAGGTGAATAAATAAATCAAAAACTGGGAAATATGTATAGGGAACAGAAAATTATAAAAATATAGCAGATCTGCCCTGGCCGGTTTGGCTCAGCAATTAGAGCATCGGCCTGCGACAGCCCACAGTCCAGAGAGACCCAGGTTCAGTTACCGCTAAGGGCATGTACCTGGGTTGCAGTTTGTCCTCGGCCCCGGTTGGGGTCGTGTGGGTGGCAGCCAATCAATGTGTCTCTCTCATATCGATGTTTCTCTCTCTCTCTCTCCCTCCCTCTCACTCCATCTGAAGATGAATGCAATATATATATATATATATATACACATACACACACACATACATATATATGTATATATATCTGATTGAAAAAACAGGCAAGCAGAATTTCTAGTAATAACAGAACTTCTACACATGTGAAATAACCAAAATTAAAAATTCAATGACTCTATTTAGCACCAGACTGGACATGGAAGACAGAAACAGAATCAAAATATAAACAAAATTATCCAGAATATAACCTTGAGAGAGAGAAATGATGGAATATATAGAAAATACAGTGAGAAAGTTTAAAGTACATGTGATCAGAGTTCCTGAAGGAGACAGAGCAAAGGGAAGAGAGAATAAGCAGAGATGAATGCTAAGATCTTTCCAGAAATTATGAAAAAGGACAATACACAGATTTGAGAGGCACAGAGAATCCTAAACAGAATAAATAAAAGAAGGTTCACATTTAGTTAAATCATAGTGCATCTACAGAAAACCAAAGATTCTCCCCATGCCTCTGCTCCCCTCCAAAAAAAGAATCTTAAAGGGGACAAGGAACAGAGATTATGTTCACAGAAAAAAACAGACCAACAGCTATACTCTCAACAGCTACAACTCAGAACATAGGATAATGAAATTATATCTTCACAGCACTAAACAATAACAAAAATAACTGCCAGCCTAGAATTTAACACTCAGGAAAAAATCTCCCTCGAGAAACAATGACTTGATCAAAGCGTTTGCCATCAATACACCCAAGCTGAAGGAGAACTGTAAAGAAACTTGCCTTTTGATAAAACTAAAAATAACCTCTGGTTAGACTGTTCAATAAAAAAAAAAAAGGAACAACAACAGCAAAAATTTTTATGGAGATATTATTAGATTAAAAAGATACTAGAAAAGATGGCAAGAAAATATTGTAAACTTCTTTATGCCAGTAAATTTAAAAAATTAGATTAAAAACATAAAAAAAGATTTAAACAGGCACTTCATAAAACAGTATTCCTAAATGCCCAACAAACGTTTGAAAAACTACTCAGCCTCATTAACAATCCTGATCATACAAAACCTTAAAACTTGGTGAAATACTGCTGTATGCCCATCCACGAGGAAGTGTGAAGTAATGCGAGTAAGGAAGGATGAGTCAGGTACTGCACTGCCGGGGTCCACGTAGACTGGTCCCACCTCTTTGAAAACACTATGGTGTTTTGTGCACAAGCTGAGTTTACATAGACCCTATAACCACTGCTTCTATTGCTAAGTACGTACCCTAAAATAATGCATGCTTATGTAGAGCAAACCTCATGAACAAGAAAAACCATCAGTATTTGCAATACCAAACACTAGAACAACCTAATGTAGTAAATTGTGATATATGCATACACCCAGATTGCTACAATATGCAGGATTCCCACGCAAGTGAAAAACATGTACTTCTCAAAAGCTGCAGGACTGACCGTGGAGCAATAGTCCTTCAGTAAAACGGGATACTGTATTATCGCCTCAAACGCCGACAAGGTGACCTTGATAAATTCCTCCGAGGCCATCAGTCCTAGAAATACAGATCATTATTACAGGTGTTTATTTACATGTTAAAAATCACCATATCAAAGTGCCTCAGTCACGGATGTCAAATGTCCCACAGTCTACTCACCGATGGCTCCTTCTATGTTCGTTTCTCCTGAGTCTATTGACTTAATATGACTCTGTAATAAATAAAAAGACTAGTAAATGGAGATTTCAAAATAACTCTGAAATAAAACACAGATAACATTTTGCCCCCAAAACACCTACCATTCTTAATTAAACAACTCATGGAAGGCAATAAGTACTACACACATACTATGAACACTATATTCACTGTTTTTGTTTTTGTTTTTGTTTTTTAATCCTCACCCGAGGACATTTTTCCATTTTTCACTCAGATAGAGCGGGAAGGAGAGAGAGGAAGAGAGAGAAACATCGATGTGAAAGGAACACATCGAGTGGCTGCCACCCACACGACCCAACCAGGGCCGGGGACAAACTGCAGCCAAGGTACATGCCCTTAGCGGGAACCGAACCCAGGTCTCTCTGGACCGCAGGCTGACACTCTAACCACTGAGCCAAACCGGCCAGGGCTATATTCACTGTTTTTAAATATGATCAGATAAAGTAGGATATATACATTATTAACTATAATCATCTTTTATCATACCAATCACTATCAATAAGATTTAATGTTGGACTAAATTCAATAGCAAGATAAGCCCAGAAAGGACTTGAAAGAGTGAAGAAAATCCCACTGATACATAACCATTCCCAGTAACAGCCACAGCCACTCACGCCTGAGTAAGCAATTGAGAAGGGCACCTAACCAGGTGAGATGTCACCTAAAGGAAGGTCGAGCCATTTAGTTCAAGGTCTGTCTTCAAATTTACCACTGTTCCTAGTCACTCCCAGATACCACTTTTTTTAATCCTTACCCAAGGATATGTTCTTACTGGTTTTAGAGAGAGAAGAAAGGGGGCAGGGAGAGAAACATGGATGTGAGAAAAACACTGATCAGCTGCCTCCCATATGTTACCTGCCCAGGAATCAAACCTGCAACCTTTCAGTATATGAGACGATGCTCCAACCACTGAGCAACACTGGCCGGGTCCTCCTGGGTACTTCTTACCCCAACCCAACTCCCCTTCTGTGTCCCATCCACAAGCCCGCGCTTCCTTGCAGGGTGGCCCCCGACACTGCTTGAAAGGCAGGCCTGCGCAGCTGGCTGTGAGCTCCCTGGGTGAGCTTCCCAGTCCCCAGCCGAATGACTGTCCCAGGCAGAAGAGGTGCTCGCAAATATGATCTGAATGAAACAATCCATGCCCAAGTTGTGATGGACAGAGCACCATGTCAGCCAGGCACTGAGACCCTGCAATGGAGTTCTTGTCCCTAGCTCACAGAATAATACACATACAAGATATGGTTTGGGGTAACAAACAGCAAGTAAAATATAAGATTACCCTGGAATAAAAAAATAAATAAGCAATTAACTTGGAGTGGAAAATAAGTCAACTATGGTCCAATGGTTTTTCTTAAAATATTTGGTAAATATAAAAGAACATATATAACATATCCAAAAGAACATGTGCACAGCTTTTTTGTTTTAAACAAATAAAGAAATCCTTAAACCCACCATTCAGGTTAAGTACTGAGACATTCCCCAACCCTACCAGCCTGTCCTTCCACCAGAGATAACCACTATCATAAATTTATCTCTTTTTTTTTGACATTTTTATATAGTTTTATTATACATGCATATATCCCTAAATGGTATGTTGTTTGTTTGGGTTTTTTTTTTTTAACTTTACTATATCAAACTTTACACAATTCATACAAATGGGACAATATAAAACCATAAAAATATGAAAAAAATTGATATAGGAAAATCCTTATGATACAATTTTAAGTGGGGAAGTAAGACAATATACATCTACATATATACAGCATAGTCTCAACCATAGGTACCATATGTCATACATAAATGTGTTATATGTATATAAATAGTTTTCCTATATACAAGTGCATATATGACTAGGAAACACTACAAGGGAAAAGTATGTTGGCAATGGTTGTCTTTGTGGAGTTATGGATGATTTTATTTTCTTCAAATCTCACTATAATTTTCTACATTTTCTTTTAAAAGCATGCATTTTATAATTTAAATAAATAATCCCAAATTGCCTAAAAGTAAGAGAAAATCTTAAAATGAGACATGTGCTCCTTGAAAGCTGAAAATATGAAATTTCTTTTTTTCAATCTGTAACTAAACAAACTGAAAAGACTTAAAAAAGAAAAAACGTAGTAAATTTATAAAAGCAATGTAGGCTTTCATAATTATTTGGGTGAGAAATCATTTTATAAAACTTTAAAATGAGTATAAAAGTTTTGCTAAATAAATATGAATTTGATACTTGATAAAAAATTCATAGAGACAAGTCTTTTGACTTAAATCTATGTAAATGTCCACAGATCACTAAGAAAAGCTTCCGCTTTAGCAGAAGCCCGGGAGGTCCTTGGCAGTGAGCTGCTGCTACTGGATACAGCTACGAAAGGTGGACCAAGTTTGAATACTTCAAATTCAGGCATATTTTTAAAGTACTAAAAGACAACAGACCTACCATTGTACAGTAGCTACTCAACCAGATAAATCTTGAAAAATACAGAAAATGGTATTTATCTCCAGCAGAGCAGTAAGGCCTTCAAAGCACATTGCTACGTATCTGCACATGAATGGAACGTGCCACCAGGACAGACATGCACTGTGCCCTGGACAGCTCCACAAAGTCATTCTATGGACTGTTCTACAGAACGTGTATAGCTGTGCAGCCCAAAACAAAACCTCTCAAACTTCTGTTTAAGCAAAATTAAAAAGAATTCTCTTAAAGCAGAAACTCAAGAGGCTGTAGTTTGCTAACCTGCACTGTGAATGTCTAAGGGGCTGCAAGATGTTGGAAGAGGTCACTGTGCATCATGGCATCAGGAGAGCACTGATGACTTTAACATCTTTGGTGTCTTGTGGATAGATTATGAATCAACTCATGGAAGCAATATCCAGCCTCAACGGTCCATAAACGTGCACAGAACCGTGTGGATAACAATTCAGGTCCTTACTTTCAGTCGATACTTCTCCCCCTTTTACTACTTACTACTTTATCAATACCATCAATACTGAGCATGAGAAAAATGAACACAGAGCTAAGGCCAAATAACAGACATGATAAGAAAAATAACAAAAAAATTCTGGGACTGGCCATGATTCCATCTAGGAAAACAGCCTGAAGAGAGCAAAAACACCTTTTCCATTGTATTGGCCGAACCTCCCTCTACTTGAGTGACATTATCAGAAAAAAACGGATAAAAATGTTCCAGTATAATAATTGTCTGTGAACCAGGTTAAGTTATTTTCCATTCCCCAAAAGGGCACATGTGAGACCCCACGGAACATCCCCCAACCCTCACCAAGTATGCCCACACCTGGGAGAAGGCGGGAGACCCTTCCTCAGTATGGCCTCCTCCCTGTTTCTGAATTATGTGGAGCAGACGAGTTCTCCCTAAAACATACGTGTCATTCCTGAAAGTCCACAAAGACTTTATGTTGGAGACACTTGGTAGTTCCTTCAGAGTCTCAAAGGTACTCAGTTAGTGTAGGCAGAGAGAAGTACTGCACATGAGGGAAAAATAAGAGAACGAACACAGCACAGTCACGCCTATCCCAAATGATCACTGTGCCGAAACATTCCACAAGCAAAATTACTATTTGCAGGCATTGATATGAATTGTGATGGAATTATAAATATAGCGTTGTAGTCACGCTAAAGTGATACCCACACATTGTCCTTAAAAGCAGATTGAAGAGCAAATTCAAGAAGGTGGCAAACAAAATTCTAATCATCTGCAAACTCATGAGTGCGTAACAAAAATGATGTACTTGGTGGAACTTGGATTCAAGGCACTAGAATGATAAAGAGGTGAAAGTGAGTATAAAAGGACCCACTGCACACACCTCTTACTAAGTCAGTCCTGCACGCAACATCTGTCCTTCAAATTTTCATTCTTCACCCTTTGATGAACTTTCTAGAAAGCTATATTCTTTCTTGTGGGTGACAATCTTTTTTTATTCCAAAATAACAACAAATTTGAGATGTTTGCTTCATTTTTAACTAGATACATCTCAGTTCAGTGTTCATTATCAACATCAAAGTGAACTGGAGAAGCTGTGTGACAAATGTCTTCGCTTTCCCTTTGACTAGTTCCCCATTTCATCAGTGATACATACTGTAACTATGCCAGGCAGGGGGAAAGATAACATAAGTCATGAGCCATAATCTGAACAAAAAGACTGTTTTTTGTGAGCAAAAACTGGAATGAAAGATAGCACAATGATTTGTTTTTCATTGCTATCTATATCTCATCAAAATTTTTAAAAAAGTAAAATTAAGCTTAACTTACAGAAATGCCACCATAAAAAGAGACTGTGCATAACCGGACAACGTAAGCCAAGGTAAGTCATAGTGATAATATATGCCCAACATTCCACTGTCACTAGTTTTATTATGTAAAATTTTTTCATAATGTTTAATACCAAAACCAATAAAAGTGTTCACTCTGGACTTACGTGCCCTACTCGAGGCCATCTGTGAACAAACTACATTATCAGGAGAAAATGCATTTTTCTCCAAATGTCAAATTGTATTACAGTCAACAGATAAAAGTATAAAAAGGTCACTTCCCCAGAGACAAATAAACACCACCAATTTGAAAACGCCCTCCTCCTGACATGGAAATGCACAAACAGTAGAGACAGGCACGTTTTCCTAGGGACGTGGGAAAGTCCGAGCTGCTCACCAGGACGGCTCCGTAACTGAACAGGAACTCCTCCGTTACAACTCGAGGCCGAAACACCTGCGTGGAGAGAGGTTCCACGGATCACACAGAGCACGGGCAAGGGGGAATGAACATGTCTGTCCGCTCCAGGTACAAAGACGGGAGCCAGTGACTTCACTTGTGTCAATCAGACCCTACCTGAGAGGTGACAAGGTGCAGCACCACGGGCATCAGGGGAAGACACAGCTTCAGCTGCTTCGCTTGAACTGTTGACGGGTGTTTGCGACCAGACACGCCAGCCAGGGCACTGAGAATGTCGCCTGCGGAGGGAAGACCACCAGCACTCAGGGACCCCTGGTCACTGCTGAAACCAGGGGGTTGCTGAGGGAAAGAATCTCCACGTAAATGAAGTGGAGAGAAGCTGTGATATTTACTCACAAACATCAAGACTAGAACAAAAAGTCAAGGCTTCTGGGGACAAAACGGATATCAACTCAATCTTGCATCTAGAAATTTAACATCAAATTATAAACAGCATGGTAGAGTGGTGGCTTTAAAAACAATTTTCCTTCCTTTTTTTTTTTTTTTGTATTTTTCTAATTTCAAGCATAAGCACCTATTACTTTGGTAAACAGAAAAAATAATAAAAATGATAAGTAAACATATTATAGGTCACAATTTCTAATAACAGAATAGATGGAAATAAAACTAGATCAATTTATAAAACTTTTCACTGGGTGATAAGTCCAATAATAAATAAAACTTGTGTTGTGGCTATCTTATCATCATATCTTTAAACAGAATGAGTCTGGTAATAGGAAACTCAACTACCAATTAACCAGACGGACCATGGCCTTCAGATTGAAGATTTAAGAAAGGTTACAACCAAAATAAATTTTGAAATGTGCTATTTTCAGTCATTAACAGGCAAATAATCTCTCAAAGTATCAGTAAGAAGCAAAAAGGCATGTCAGTCAGCCATGAAGACAGTTCTATTACTCTGATTTAATAGCACGAATTTCGGTTCTTAAGTATATTTTACCAAACTGAGCTGGATCGATTTAACATTTTAAACATTCCTGGTTTCATGCTACATCTGCTAGAAAAGCATGGAACCGGATTTAAACTAAATGTGCACATTACTCAGATTATTTTAACTTTTGCAACCACAATGAAATAAGGGATTAGCTATAATAAACATCCTTTGCAAATCATTATTAGATATTTTTATTTTAAGTTTTTTAAACCAAAGAAATGTTCAAACTTTAGTATCAAAAGTCTAATATAAATGCTAATGCTTAAGCACTCTTAAGATCTTTTAACAATCAATAAATGTGTGGCTCTCGTCTGAAAAGACATGTTTTTTATTCAGAATTAAGCAGAGGAAACACTCTTGAGAAAGGCTACCCAAAATAATAGCAAAAGTCCAAGTTTAAGCAATTAAAATGCTTCTCTTTTATTTATTTTCCAAAATCACCAGTTTACCACCGATGACAGCCCAACAAAACCACTGGCCTGCTCGCTGCCTCAGTATGTCACTTGGGAAAGAGATAAGGCACCTGTAAGTCTTGAAACTACACATTCAGGAAAAAGAGTCACTGCGCTCGCCTGCAAGAACGGACCAGCAAGAATAGAAGGGAGGCGATGCCTAAAAGCCAAGTCACAGAAAGGTAAGCAGCAAGGGGCCTGAGGACGAGGCTGCAATTTACCCAGGATCCGTGGCACTTCCTGCACGACGTGACGGATGAGAAGGTCCAGGCACTTGGACAGGTACTCACTGCCGCTCTGCTGCTGCTCCTTGCCTGGGGAGGTCTTTCTGCTGTCTCTCTCGATGTACATCACCAGTCTACATACAGAAAAGTGCAACAGATCACCTCTCGTGATAAAAGAGGTGAGGGCATCCGTCTGAAAATGCCACCAAAGCACTGTTTCCAGGGGGCACGGTCCCAATCATGCTGACATTTAGATTTGTAGCAACTTGGCTAGCGCAGTCCATTTTGGCCTCAGAAAAATCTAAACATTTATGCAGAAAGAAAGGAAGACAACTGATATGTCTACCAGTGTATTACAAAACAGTGCCCTGATGTCACCTGCACTTGGCCCATGGAAAGAAAGCACATTCCCCAGATGATGGAGAAGGGCAAACACCATCTGGACACAAGAGGGTTCTGGTGTTTCAAAGATTCAAAGATTCAAAGGCAACACAAGTTATTATTAGTATTCAACCTATTCGACTTGCTTGGAACCTCAGGCCAATTACATGAATTCCAGTTCCTTTAGTAAATCAAGTATATAAATCCAAAGGAAGAGTTTCATTCCAACACCGGATTTCTCATGTCCTTTTGTTCGGTAGTTTTATGATATCTGCCTGTTAATAGACTTACATCTTCTTCAAACCTCTGGCATCCATTTAACATCAATTTCTAAACCATGTTCACCCCAGAACCAGGGATCATATTGGACCATCACTCCAGATACGGAGGGTGTAGTTTACAAGTTTTAGGCCTATTTCATCCCCTTTTTTTGGACCCACCAGTCATCTTCCCGAGTTCCCATTCCCCTCAACTCTCTAGAGGGCAATGAGCACACTGATTTCAATGGTCAAAGGCCCTGCACAGTGACCTCCCTTGTGGGACTCCCTTGCTACCATCCACCCCTCCAGCTCTGTCATCATCCCTGATCCCAGCCAACTTCTACTTCTCAGAGAGAACTGCCAACCAACTTCCACCATAAACTAGAAAGAGGTGGATTTATTCATAATAAATACATGTAAAGTATACTGGAATCTTAACCCTTGGAATTTATGTGGCTCTCTTAGTAGATTTATTCATGGTTTAGTCTTTCTTCTTACTATTATTTGGAGCCCTATTTGTGAGCACATGGGGATAAAACCAACTAAAAAATCGTAAGTTTCACATAAGCCAGTTAACATCATCTGTTGTAGTCAGTGCTTACAGCCCTAGCCACACTCTAACAAATGTATGACATGGTCAAATGCAAAGAAAATATGACTAAGTCTGCAGAAATGCATCAGTATTGCTTAAAGAATTCAGACCACAAAACTTCTTGATAATGAGTAAACCAAAGAAATGGGACACCACCATTTCACGATAAGTGAAATCCAAAATTGGCAGAGCATAAAAAACAAATCCACACTTGTCTGCAAGGAGTCCATTTTTCTCCAAAATGTACATTATCCATGACAAAACTTAATATTGTGCTGCTTAACTGCCGTAGTTGGAAATATCTTTAAGTCAAAAACTACTCGAGCCCTGGCCAGTTTTTCTCAGTGGTTAGAGCGTTGGCCCGAGGACCAGAGAGACCAGGGTTCAGTTCCTGCTAAGAGCACATACATCAGTTGTAGTTTGTCCCCAGCCCTGGTTGGGGTCGTGTGGGTGGCAACCAGTCGATGTGTCTCTCTCGCACTGATGTTTCTCTCTCTCTTCCTCCCTTCCGCTCTATCTGAAGATAAATGCAAAAATGTCCTCTGGTGAGGATAAAAAAATAAATAAAATAAAATAAAATAAAGTAAAAACCTAGTACAGGCTGTTAACAGACAAGGAAGATGTTTCGGAGAAAAGCCATATTCCCACCTGCAGATGACTATTTTGAGAAACAGCTCCTGACAGAGAATGAACACATGACCACTGACATCAAGTGATCACATGATCTGAGTTACTAAACATTAACTGTATCATTAATCTGACACACCAAGCCAATAGGGTGGGCATGCACAGCAATAATCCATCATCAAGTAGACTGATCAATGTAAGAGACTGAGCTTGAACAGGTAAGTTGTTCAAGGTAAGTTGCAGGAGTGGGTAGGTCAGATTCCTTCCACACACACTCCTCTGCATTGCCTCTCCTCTCTTAATCCTGATTACGAATTATTTATGACCCGCTGACTGAAGAGGAAAAGCACTGAGCCCAGTTAGTGAATGGTTCACTGGTACAAAATCAAAGTAGGCTGCAGCAGCATTACAAGCCAAATCAGAAGAGTCACTGAAAAGGAAATCCTTCCAGGTAGCAGAATTTCAAAAAACATAATTGTCGTACCCTATGTTTAAACTGAGATACGCTAGAAGGACAAATGCATGCTGACTCATGAGCACTGACTGACAGCTTAGCAGGATGTCCAGGAACTCAGAAAGAACAAGATTTGAAGACTGATGACAAGAATTCCTGAGAAAGGGGTATGTGGGTGGACGTCTCAGAATGGGCACAAAGCGTAAAAACATATGTGCACCATGTGGATGCCCACTAAAGAGCACCCACTTCAGAAGAGGCTCTCAACCATCAGGCAGACAAGATGATGCATTCTGAAAATGTCATTCACGACTCCTTTCCAGCCACCCAGGGCTTGCTCAACGGGTTCATGTACAAAGTGGCCAAGGTGGCAATGATGGAGGCTATGCATAGGCTCAGCAAAAGGAATGTCCTGATCTTGATACTGCCACTCCAACCAATGGGAAGAAACCAATGCCAAGTCCCAGTCTGGCCCCATTTCCTGGGGAGACCAGCCAGTCATCTAGCAAAAGTTGGTTGATGGAAGGAGCAGTCACCTCTCCTCGCTGAAATAGTTACATATCCTGGATATTAATCTGCTCTCCCTGCCCATAAGCTTCTGTTAGTGCCACTTAGTACAGACTTAAGAAATAACTTATTTATTATCATGGTTATCAATATAATACTATACCTGGTCCAGGAACTTATAAATAGCAAAAGAAGTATGGTAAAGTGGGCAGGTGCATGAAATTCACTCATCTCAGCAGGTTCCCCCAACACCCAGAACCTTGCTTGATTGAAGGAAGAAATGGCCTACTGAAAACTCAGACAGAGTGCCAACTGGGAAACGCAATGAAAAATTGGGTTCTGTCTTGCAACAATGAAGCATATGTTTTGAATCAACAAACAAAATACATGCTTTTGTCTCTTCCACTGACAAAACACGGATCTCATGACCAGGGGTAGACGAGGGAGTGGCTGCCTGTCACTATTGCACCTAATAACCCCTCACAGGATTTGTCTTCCCGTCTCCAAGACTCTCAGCTCTGCTGGACTGGTTCCGAGGAAGGCAGGTTTTCACCAGAGGACACAACAACTCGATTTGGGGACTGAAGAAGGTTACTCTTCTGGTTAAGAGTGAGTTACTGCCAAGCTGTGCAGACAGGATCAGCTGGGACCCACGGGAGTCCCTGAAGAGCCTCTAGGTTCTTCCGTAGCTAAGAGATAACGTTAAGGAAAACCTAAGCAACCGAGAAAAGGCAAGTTCAGATCTTTCAGGTACTTGACATCCCCAGCCAATGTACAAACCTATCATTTAAGTTTATTTTTAACCGCAAACTACAAATCATAGGGATTCCTGAACACACTTTGAAATGACCTCAAATAGGTAGCCCCACCCACTGGTTAAAAGTAGTCCCTCTATCTGTACTTTGGATAAAATAAGATAGTGATAGTTTCTTTTCTTAATTTGATATTACAATGGGTAGAAATACTATTCGGTTATTTCAATTTCCAATTCTTTGATTACTAATGAGACTAAATATCTGTTTACATCTTTATAAATAAATCTCTTTACAGTATATAGATTAACTGTTGTATATGATGCAAAAATTTACACATTTTGTTAGCATGAGATTTCTGATTTATGATTTTAGGGGAATATAAAAGTATCTAATGTATATAAAGCCAAACAATCAGAATGTCCTTTTATGGTTTCTTTAATTGTTTTTCTACTCAGGAAAGCTGTCCTTACCCATATTTAAACATATTTTCTTCCAGTTGCTTATAGTTTCTTTTTGGTATATAATTCTTTAATCCATCTGGAATTGACTTTTGTATGGTGTAAGCTGAGATCATTTTTTTCCCAGACAGTTAACCAATTACGCAGGGTAAATATTTCTTTTAAAAAAAAAAATGTTCTTTTAAGATCAAAGCAGATTTTTTTGTACCACTGATTACCATATTAATAGCAATGCTATGGGAGGGAGGAAACCTCTAGGAAGACCTGATCCATCAGGAGCACTGAAAATTTCAGGCTCACAGCAAACCTATACAATGGACATAAAAGACTATTCATCCTCTAAAAGGGTTATCATTTCTAGAGACACACAAGACCCTGTTTTATCACCTGTCATATTCAATATGAGCATGAAGCCATTTGAAGAAATAGGTGGACATTTGGGGGCTATCACATCATTTTTATCTGATTCTGACAGCTCCATTTCACTGCCTGTCACGCTGAAAAGATTTGAGAGCCGACATCATAAAGTATGTGCTGAAATTTAATCCATAAAAGGCGGATGGTGATGATGGTAAGCAGGAAAAAGTATCCACATAACGCAGCAAAGGTTACCGTGGGCCCCTGCTGCGAGCTTTCGGTTCCAGGCAGGCGGCAGCGGCCTGGAGCTCAGAATGCCCGCGGCTAGTGGAGCTTCCGGGACAGGTGAGGAGGAGGGAACATTTCCATCTAAGTTCCTCAGAGACTTTTAACATCTCTCTGGCCTGAGTGTGCCTCTCTTTTCCATACCTTTCTATTCAACCTTGCATTTCCTATACATAGCAATGTAATATGTGGGCTAAAAGCACAAAGGGACAAACAGAAACCATCTTTCCACAGCCTGTACAAGCTGCCTGTGTGTGTCTGGGAGTAATTTATATTAGCAAATTTAATCTACAAAGTCTACAATATTTGAGCTTTGACTGCCTTAGGGGTTCTCCTAATCCTTCTAAAGTAACTGGTACCTATTGCTGATATTTCTTTTAGTTTTAAGGGGATTGTTTGTTGCTTCATTAAATATTTTCTTAACTATAGGAGTGAAACATGTTTATTGTAATAAGGCTAAAAATAAAAAAGATTAAAGATACATAATATCCCTGCCCCAACCTCCTCAGATAATCAATTTGGTATATCTTCCTTGCAGGTATTTTTAAATAAAATTTTATGCAAATACACACAAATAAAAGAGTTTGTCCATATTTTTTTTTTATCCTCACCTGAGGACAATTTTTCGATATTTTGTTCAGATACAGTGGGAGGGAGGGAGAGAAACATCAACGTGAAAGGGACACATCGAGTGGTTGCCACCCACATGACCCAACCAAGGCCGGGGACAAACTGCAACCGAGGTACGTGCCCTTGGCGGGAACCGAACCCGGGTCTCTCCAGACCGCAGGCCGACGCTCTAACCGCTGAGCCAAACTGGCCAGGGCGAGTTTGTCCATTTTTATTTGTTATTTTATAAAAATAACTTCATAATTAATATATTATTGTCTTCTCATTTTCATTCTTACCTATATATGATGAACATCCCTCCAAGTCAATCAAATGAACCACCTACTTCTATTATAGCTATACCATCGTTTATTGAAGTACTTCAGTACCACTGGATGTTAACTATATTTCCAGACACTGACCACCAGAAACAATGCTACACTGGACACTCTCGTGCATATTTCCTACACAGTTCATACCTCTGTTTCTGGCAGCTAAACACCAAACTCGGGCTTGTTAGGACCAAATGCAACTACTGTTAATAGTCACAGTTGTTTCTGACTTACTTTCCAAAAAGTTGGAGCAATTCTCATTTCCACGAGCAATGTTTGTTTTTTTAAAATATGTTTTATTAAAATTTTAAAGATAGAGGGAGAGAGAAACAGAAACATCAATGTGAGAAAGAAACATCGATTGGCTGCCTCCTGCATGCCCCCTCCTGGGGACTGAGCCCGAAACCTAGACATGTGCCCGACAAGGAATCCAAGCGGGACCTCTCAATCCAGGGGACGGCGCCCAGTCCAGTGAGCCACACCAGGTGGGCAATGTTTAAAAGTGATTTTGGGCCCTGGCCAGTTTGGCTCAGCGGTTAGAGCGTCGGCCTGCGGTCCGGAGAGACCCGGGTTCGGTTCCCGCTAAGGGCACGTACTTCGGTTGCAATTTGTCCCCGGCCCTGGTTGGTCGTGCGGGTGGCAGCCACTCGATGTGTCCCTTCACGTCGATGTTTCTCACTCTCTCTCCCTTCCTCTCTCTCCCTCCCATTCTATCTGTACAAAAAATGGAAAAATATCCTCGGGTGAGAATTAAAAAAAAATAATAATAATAAAAGTGATTTTGGATTTCCAGTTAGGCCAAGTTGGTGCAGCCAGGTCCTATCAATCCCCACCCCACCCCCAGCCCACCTCACACTTAATAACTAAAAATCCCTGGACATATGATTTAAAAAATTGTTTTCTTGCCAGGCCAGTGTGGCTCAGTGGTTGAGCGTTGACCCATGCACCAAGAAAGAGGTCACTGGTTTGATTCCCGGTCAGGGCACCTGCCCAGGTTGTGGGCCAAACCCCCAGTGCGGGGCATGCAGGAGGCAGCGAATTGATGTTCTCTCTCATCGATGTTTCTCTCTCTCTCCCTTCCTTTCTAAAATCAATAATTTAATTTTAGAGAGAGAGGGAGAGGGAGAGAGAGATAGATGGTCTTGGGAACCAAGACACCGCTCCTCTATCCGTCTCCAGGCAGGTCTGCCCACACGCAGATACGCCCACATACAACATGAGGAACCGTATTAAAGGGTCGCGGCATTAGGAAGGTCGAGAACCACTGCTCTAATCTGCGTCTACACCAACATCCATAGCCTTTTCTGTTCACACTACCCAGAATGCATTTCAAGTCTCCTGCTTTGTGTGGTGGAAGAGGAGGTGTCTCCTGGACGTTCGGAGTTGGGGAGGAGGGCTAGGAATCACATCTCCATCAATCCTCCCATCTTCAATCTCATGCCCCTCTCACCACCACTTTCGAAGGTATGTGGTGCATCCCCATTTCCGGACCTTTCCAGCACTATCATGCAGGAATCAGATCGCCTCGTGGCCTTTCCCCTTGCAGACAAGGGACCTCAGCAACCTCCATTCTGCTAGAGCAGCAAACACTCACCTGTCAGCTTCCCGGACGATGCTTGTCTGCTTTGACCATGGTTCCCTTTCCCTTTCCCCTTGTGGTTTCATGACTTTTCAATTCCTTTCCTCTCAGTTTAATACAGGATCAGAAGAAAGTATGTTCAGCAGAAGACACCTGCTATCACTCCTTCAATCAGAAATCCTCCTCCATCTGCCCTTCCTCCTAGAATTCCTGGCACTTTGCATGTGAGGCCTCCTGAACCTACTCTGTCTTTCCTATTGTTTTCATGTGAATTCTCCCTGTTTGTAATCGGCTTTGGGTGGTAAATGTGTTTTTTCTTACTGCCATTCTCTTTCAGTTCTGCTGAATTGCAAACACTGCCTCTTCAGAGAGTGTTCATTTCTGCGTGTCGAACTCTGTCCCATTAGCTGTGTAGAGCCGCCTGTTCTTCTTGTTCTTCCTCCATCAAGAACTCTCTCTCTCTCCCCATGGGCCACGACAAGTCTGCTTACTCATGACTTCCTTGCCGACTCAGCACCTGATCAGGACGGGTCTGTTCCTTCAAGTGCAGGAAGAGGAGGTCCTCTCTCTGCAGCCTCCCGGACTGGGGCAGGCTGGCCCCATTTCAGTCCTGCTCCAGATCTCCTGGGGACAGGAGCGCTGGCCCCAACAACCACACACAGACAGCTCTGCACTTTCGGACCCCACGGGACCCGCAGGTCTTGTATTCAGCCAGGCTTAGGGCATAGGACATCATCCCGGCCACACAGCGCAGGAAGAATGGGGCCCTCCCTCACCTCTTCTGCAGGCTGGGCCTCCCCTTCCCCAGCCTTCTCCGCACTCATCCTGCTCGGTGCGTAGCTCCAGAAAAAGCAGAGCGAAAGTCAGGGGCAGGGTGTGCATTCAAGCCACCATCTGCCCACCACTGCTGAAGTTTCTAAAGGTTCACTTAGAAACACAGAAATCACAGCAATTTCCTGGGAGGACTGAATGAGGCATGCCCAGACTCTGGTGGTCTGAAGTGGTTTTATTCTTTCCAGGTAAAGATTCTGAAGTTGGGGTTAAGAGGGGAACTTTAAATAGAATGACCTGAGTGGATCTTGAAAGCAATAACCTTAAATCCAACAGAAACCTGAGTGACCCGAGGAGCCAGCCTCGCAAACACCTGGGAGAGGTGCGTTACGGGCACAAGGAACAGCACCTGGGAACTGCCCTGAGGTGACCATAGTAGGTTTTGTGTTTAAAAAGAACAAGAAAAAGCATGCCAGAAATGGGGTTTGTGCAAAAAAGAGCTATAGAAGGAAGACAAGGGCTAAGAGGGGGCCGGGACCAGAGCACAAAGGCAGATGAGGCCACGTAAGGAGCAGAGGTATCATTTCAGCACAACAGGATGTCATAAGAGTCTGAGCAGCAAGAAACAAAAACTGATTCATGCTGTATAAGAGGTACGCTGGTCACTACATGGGGTCCAGACTGAGTCCAAGGAATAATGTAAGAACATCCATCGATAAGCTACATTACTTGCCCAGGTGAAGAATGGCAGCGGGCACGAGGAGAGATAACAGGCAGCAAAGCCAGTGATGAGGTCTTTAAAAATAGACGAGAGCAACTTCCGCTTCCAGCCCTAATATGCCAACAGGGACAAGATTCTCCCTCCCATCAAAAACAACCAAAAAATACGCAAAATATATGAAATCAGTATTGAAGACACTGGATGTAAAACAACGAAAGACAGAGATCCCTGGGAGATGAGAAACAAAGGAAGCTCCCACACGACCTTGACTTAGAAGTCATTATCTGCGATGTAAGGACATGCTGAAGGCAAGCATCGAGGAAAAAGCTAACCAAATCCTAAAATGTCTTCCAAGCGATGACTGTGCTCAATTACAATCATGTGCTCCTGAGCCGATACGGTATGTGGCAGCTCCTATCTGTGTGCAAGACATTTTTAAAGATAATCATAAAACGGCATTAGAAATCAGCACTAACATGAACATCTGCAATTGCTTTGATGATGGAGACACTAACTTTGACCACTAATTAAGCAAAATTCTATCTTCCACACCTCCCCCCCAATTTGTCTCTTCTTAATAGACCTGTATTAACAAACAAAAAAAATACTCAATTAGTAGTAGTATATTTTTTGTCAATTAAAAAACGTACTCAATTTGTTTTCTCTTGTTATAGAAGTACCTACATAATAGACACAATGTTGCCTCTTGATGCACAAATCCTAAAATATTTCCTCTGTAGCTGTTTACAAGAAAGAGTTTGCCAACCCCTAACCTAAATCCATCTCAACAATTTCAGGATCTCTTCCATATTCTATAATAAGTAAAAAGCTATATGGAGAAACAGACATTAAACCATATTTTTAAGGTTCTTGTGGGTTTCAACAGAGCATGTGGACCGGGCAGTGCAGAAGATGCTACTCGGGACACATCAGAGTGAGAAGGCAGGACAGACTCTGGGAGGTGAAGCCCAGAGAGAATGACAGATCTGCCCATCCTGTAACTCCTGATCCCTGCCTCTACCTCACAAGGCTGCCCCTCTGGGCTGTCAACTACTCATTCCAGAATACTACAATAATGAAAACTACGACCAAACCACTGCTCCAGAAACACCTCCCAGAGACAAACCAGAACCACCTATAACGCCTGCCTTGCATTGTCCTCAGACCTGGCCACTCCAGGTTCTTCCCACCACCCTGCTTCAGGCCCTCCCTCTGGTCTTCAGGGTTTCTAAGCTGAGGCTGCATGTGAAATATTAAACCCTTGAGAAAACCTAGAAAAAAAATGCAATACCAAGTACATAAAGGCCAAAAAATAATGAACCAGGCACCAATCTTAAGTTATTGATGAAATCATCAGAGAAAATCATACCTTGCTTGGCAGCTGAGCAGCAACATCTCGTGGTTATGAATCAAAATATATAAAAGAACCAGGAAGGCTTTTGCTCTAATGGAAGTTGAGGGGCTGTCAAGTAAACGGATAATTGTAGAGACAAAATCCTGTGGAAGACATTAAATTTATTTTTTAGAAAACATAAAATAAATCGGGCAGCCAACTCTCAATGTTAATAGATTACAATAACCAAACAGAAAGCAGGAGATAAAATGATATCAGCTACCTTTTTTGCATTCTCAATTTGTACCAGAAGCCATAGCAAATTTTTAATATGTATTATCTCATTTAAACCTGAAATGCAGCCATTAAAAGTTGACAATATTCTATTTTTAAAAAAGGAAAGTGAATCTTGAAAAGTTAAGCTATTTGCCAAAATTCACAGAGTTGGATTTAAATCCAGGCCAGGTGGACAGCAAAGCCTGACTTAACCGCTCACCCACACAAGTGCAAGAGTGGCGATAATGAGGATGGCGGTCGGGACTGCACGGAGACATGAGCTCTGAGCAACCCTGCACGTGTACAGGACACATCTCTAGTTTACATATCTGAGGTCCTGCAGACATAAAATAGAAACAATACCCAGTATATAACACAAAGGAGAAAACCTATATTCCTATAACATTCTTCAATTTAAAGGGATAATACAACACAGAAGAATAAGTATTGGCAAATATTACTGTTACTTTCCCTTCCAAAGAAAGACTACATCATTTCAAGTGCCTATTGATATGCAAAAAGGAACCACACTCACACACACACAGTTACTGAACGTAAAGTAGGCAGGAATATGGAATCGTATTGTCAGCCAGATAGCTGCAAAGAGCAGGAATACAAATTCCCAAGAGTCCCTCACAGAGGCACGTACCTAGTGGTGACACTGTGTCCAAGGCAGATGTACACAGCTCACTCTTTCTGCCATGCCATGGTCCTTTCCCACTGGGTGCCATATGGCCAGGCAGGAAGAATTTACAGTCAGCTGTAGTCTTCTATTTAAGAATGGAGATATATCTATATATCTCTATCTATGCATCAATCTCATCTAGTTCTTGAACCAAATAAACCAATTCATCAACATTCTGATTCAAAACAGAATCAACACCAAGTGGTCCCTGGGCAACAGCTCTGTTCCCACCGTTCCGGCACGTAGACGGCAGAAAGCCCGGTTCCCCACAGTCAACTCCCAATTCTAATTTATTCTCTGTGGTCCAAGGCCCATTTTCCCTAATCTGCTTTCCGCACCAACATAGCCACACACACATAATTCCAAAACCATTCAAATGTCTACTAGCCGAAAACTGAGTAACTGTTCCAGAGTACAGGAGACTAAAGAGACATAACAACTGACTGCAATTCAAGATCTGGGAGTTTTGAGCTGCATGAAAGCACATCACTGAGACAACTGCAAAATCTGAATAAGGTTTGTAGATTAGCTAATAATAATGCTAAATAAATGTTAACTTGATTTTTAAATCTATGGCTTGTTTGGGGGGAATATTTGGTGAAGTAATTGAAGGCAAAGGAGTCTCAGGTCTTTCGTCTTCTAGAATGGGTAAGAAAACACACAGTAAGAGACAGACGGAAAGACAGAAACTATAAGCAAATACGGTAAAATGTTAGCCTTCGGTGAATGTGGGTGAGGGGTATATTTCAATCCTTTGTATTGCACATACAACATTAAACTTAGCACCTACCCAAAAGGTGATCTGCTCCAAGGATCATCAATCCCATAGCTAAAGTTAAAAATCTGAGCCTCTTCCTTGACTCTTTCTTCCTCCTCCATGCCATGTCCAATAGGTTCCCAACTCCTGCGAGAATACCCCAACATTGTTGCCTTATTTCAATGCACCATTCTGTCTTTCCTGAATTGATGCACCATGCTTTATCTACCCTTGCTTTCTTCCATCTATTCTATAAGATGCAGCCACAATGAGCTTCTACGACAGCAAATACAATGGTATTCACCTAAAAGATATTCTCGATAGTTGCTGCTACTCTTGAGATTAAGCCATTACCAAGAATATTGCAAATTAAAATAATATGCTTAGTATTTTGAGTGAAACAAAGTAGACACACTATAGCCAATATCAGAAATAAAAGAAACTGGGTAGGTGTTTGTTTGTAACACAATAATGCCAGGTTCCTGAAGAAGACACAGTGTATTAGATTATTATTGGGATCTAAGACTAAAAGCATCCTGTGCCCTAAAGAAATTCTCATTTAGTCACTTCAGAAAACCTGAATGAGCAGTACTGACCAACTCCCTACAACTAGTTGCCAGGGCTCTATATTTAATCTCAAGCAACGCATACCACACTTCTAGAACAGTAGTCATCTTACAACACTGGAGGAGGGAAGATTACAGACTGCAGGCAAAGGCTTAGTGCCACCAATGAATAATCAAAATGACCTTCAGAGAAGCAAAAATGACCTCAGGTTACTTCGGTATGCAATCCACTGTGTATTCAGCTTTGACTAAACTTCATCTTGCCATTCAGCTCAGCATACCTACATATTACATGTGGAGAAAAAAACAGAAGCCATTCAGGTCTATATACCAAACCATAGCAGGAGAAGTTAATGTCCAACATCCAAATGGTACTTGGCAGAGATTTCAGAATGGACATATCTACCGAACATAAAGATGATGTGATGGAATATTCAAAATGGTAGGAAGAGACCCACATATCTGAAGCATCCACCACAAACAAAATGTTATCTGTATGGTAATTAAGTAAAAGGATAAGACATCCCTCTAGTACATATCATAAAGAGGAAATTATGAGATGGAGGAAAATAATGACGAGGTAGAGAACTTCAGAATTATCTCTTGTAAATCTCAAGCAGTAAAATTGATCTGCTTCAATCAACTGTCACAGGCGAAAATCAATGAGTACAGCCTGGCCATCCACTGATAATAGCCTGAAGGAAAAACAGTGAGAAATTACGTGGATAACTACACCGACACAATTTTCCTGTTTCACACTGACGGCAATGAAAATTGTACTGATTAAATCTAAAATTGAGTTTGGATTACACTTTCCTTGAAGAAGTTTAGCCAAGTATCTAAGTAAAAAATGTCTCTAATAGAATATATTTGTTAATGTGGACAAACTAAAAATATCATAATATAGACTCATAATCTGATTAATTTGCATAAATTAATTACCGTGTTTTAAAAGCTGGATTAGCAACCATTGAGTCAGTATGCCGCCTAGTGATGTGTGAGAAATAAAACCTTAATAGACTTAGTGTTCACATTTTAAAAAATTCTGCAGGCACAAAATTTCACAGTACTTATAAATAACAGCTCTGCGGCTTCTGGTTTATTATTAATCACTGTTGTGCTACTTGGTCCAAATGCTAAACCTGAAGCAAGGCTTCAGTCAAACTAGACTGTGCAAATGAAGAGAGACAGCAGCTACTGTCAAAATTAATAAGCAAAAAGTTTAAAAGGCAGTATCTTAGTCAATCGCATTAAGAAGGGAACTGTCTGACCAGTGAGCCTGAACAAACTCACCTGTGGAATATGGTAGGGCTTTAAAAATTAATGTTATATCATTAAGTGACCCGCAAAGTATATGAAGTCCAAAGGATGCATTACTGATGATCCAGCTACAAAGTCCATTCAAGGTCATACACCCCAGAAACAAAACGACAGAGGCAGATGTTTGAGTCTACGTAACTTAAGTAGATGTGAGTTTTTTAAGCTCATCTAATTGAAATGCAGCAGAATGGGGTGCTAGGAGTTTTATATGCTTTCAATTTCCTAACATCAAGAATCTGGCTCTGAGTATTTAGCATAAGTATTTTTTAAGCCATACCAGTGATTTACAAAGCAGTTGTCTAGTTTAGTGTAATATTCATATATTTCCCCCATTTCCCTATATGCACACACACGCTCACATGTACATACATATATGTATTTATATGTGAATATACCTGTGTGTGTATATATCACTGCAGGTTTAGTACAACATACTGTCATCTTTAATCTCATTTTATTCAAACATAAAAGCTATAAACACATCACTGAATAAGAAAAGTATGGATCACCAAACAATATACAGTTGATCCCATTTCTGTAAGATTCCAATAGCACCTGTGTGTGGCGGCAGGGAGAAGGAAGTAAGTGAATGCATGTGTATGTACATATATATGCACAATGAATGTGAACCAAAAAGAGTCACATCAAAAATTTTAATGAGATTATCTTAGAGAGGTAAGTCCGTTATTTAAGTCTTCTGTATTCTGTACTCCATATATTCTGAATTTTCTATATTAAAGATAGAAACCCTAAAATTCATAAGACTTATAAACATAACCGGATAAAATAAATTTTCAATAGCTACTATAAGCTTCCGGATATTATAAACAAGAAAAATCGCAATGACCTCATCCAATCTCTTTCTTCCCAATAAAACAACAGGAAACACACGTAAGAACCCCCAAACTTCTCCCACCTCTGATCTTGAAGACTGAATATTTGTAGGACCCACTAACAGCATGGAAAACCAGAGTAATAAAATCACAAAGCAATCCAGAAATGTAAAAAACAAAAACAAAAGAACAGTTTATAGGCCAAAGATCAGTAAGTAAACTCACACCTAACTTACATGTTTCTCTCTTATACCCGGTCAGGGCTTCCAGAAGCCTCTTGTTAGGTCATTCAGGCATCTGAATTATGAAAAGGTTATCAATTCCCTACATCTACCATTGATGCAAGAAGTCCACATAAAGTACCATCTACTGGTGGTTCAAAAGTACCCTGCTAAGTGTTGGGGGTTTGGGGCAATGGAAAAACAGTCTGGCACTTTGCTTTGCCCAGTCTCTCCAATGACTAGAACATGCAGAACACGTGGTCTGTAACTCAGGTCCCTCGTCGCCATGGCTGTGAACACTCGCTTTTCACACCATGGTGTGTGGATCTGACACTCGTCTGGATAAGCGACCTTCTGCCACTTAGCACATCTACGGGCAGGGAAAGCCTCTTAACGATGATGACACAACATAAACCAAGCCTCACTGATGACCATGGCGCTGGATGACGGTCCTCAAAGGACACGGGTCCCCACGTGGCTAATGCAGGTGACAGTGTGAACTGAACAAACTCCTTCAATATATCAATTTCCCCTCAAGAACAAGAACCTGAATCAGGAGGAATAATCACACCATCTAGTTAATCAAGTTTAAGATAAAAGTGTGGCTACACTTACATATTTCAAATGGAGATTCAGAGAGATTCATTACTAACTGAAAATAACTATGAAAACATGCTGCTAATTAAATAATCCTAAACTCTAAGTTTTATTATAAGAGAAATATAGCATATATTTAATAACTGCTGACTGAATTACAGGGAGACGGTTCCCTCTTCTACCGCCTTGTAGAGAATAATCGGCATTATCGACACAGCCTCCTACACCTGGGTAGCTCCGGCGGTGCCCTCCCCATGAGGAGTGCACACGAAGACGTGTGGAACAAGGTATTCATCGCACCAGGGTGAGCACAACCCGATCGATGAGAGGCCGACTGTTAACAGTGGGGAAGAGTTCAATTATTAGTGCCCAAAAACTGAAAATTACATAATAATTGATAAATGTTCTTGGGGAATACTGAATGACACACACATTTTGATCTTAACTTTATAAATGTGTGCATAAAATAAACACACAGAAAAAAAGACTAAAAAAATAACAAACCAATGTCTTAACAGCAACTATCTCTGGGTAATGAGATTATAGTAGATTTTATTTTCTTCTTCAGGTTCTTCTAAATGTTCTGCAGTAAACAGTAACGTCTTTGATTTAAAAGGAATGGCATGGCCTCCTTGGAGAAGGGACTTTCCATTTAAAAATACTACACTACACAGGCCTCGGTTCCCCAACAGAACAGTGTGTGCAGCTCTTTCCCCCCAGCTCCCGGAAGCAGCAAACCTGGACCTGTTCCTGGGTCCCTTCTTCCTCCCTCTCCCAGCCTGTCAACAACCAAACACCCAAGACCGCCTCAACTCAGCAATCACAGGGTTACTAAACCTGCCCCTGAAACCCACACGTGCCTACAAAGCCGTGCACTTTTCTTGAAATAAAAATAAAACAATGACCACTGGCTCAAAACCATAAAGAAGGCCAGTGTCGCGGCCCTACAGGATCCGGGTCTTCTCCTACCTCCCTGCCTCCTGCCATGTCCCTTGATCCCTGAGCCCAGGTATGGCTTTGCCGACCTTCTTTCTCTCCCCAGATTCCCCCAACACATCTCAGACCTCAGGGAAGCCCAACTACCAAGTTCTTATTTTACCAGCTTTGTGAAATATCATATTTGAAACTAAATTAATTCATGCCTATGCTCAAGTGAAAAAAAAAAAAAAAACTGCTAAAATTCTCAGCCTCGATTATCATAATTTACACAGTAAAGCTACTCAAGTGGTACTTTATCCAATATAATGACAACAACATTAATGACTTGGAAAATTTAGTAGCAAAAATTAGATATGCAGATTGTTGGAAAAAAATCCTTTCTCTGAGGCTCAAATTTCGTAACAGAGTCTAAATCAGACTAATTCAAGGCAAGAAATGGCCTCTTGCCTTTGTTTTGATACTCACAGACCAAGTGGACTATGCAAACCGAACCATCAATCGTAACTATTAAAATTTTAATTTATAATATAAAAATCAAAATTCAAACCATGGCCGGTTTGTCTCAGCAGTTAGAGCGTCAGCCTGCGGTCTAGAGAGACCTGGATTCGGTTCCTCCTAAGGGCACGTACCTTGGTTGCAGTTTGTCCCTGGCCCTGGTTGGGTCATGTGTGCAGGAGGCAGCCACTTGATGTGTCCCTTTCACATAGATCTTTCTCTCTCTCTCTTTCTCTCTCTCCCTCCCACGCTATCTGAACAAAAAATGGAAAAATAACCTCGGGTGAGGATAAAAAAAAAAAATTTTTTTCAAAGGTGCTGCACTCAGTGCAGCGGACCAGCAGCAAACACTTAGGTGGCGACATTCTACACTCAGCAGCGCCACCTTCCCCGGGTTCTACAAACTCCAACTTCATAGGCATCTCCCTCCAAAAGAGAAGGACTGGTCCCGGAAGTTTAAAAACCACTGTGCAGCATGGCTCAGTGGCTGAGTGTCCACCCATGCACCAAGAGGTCGTCGGTTCAATTCCTGGTCAGGGCACATGTTCAGGTTGTGGGCCCGATCCCCAATGGGGGACATGCAGGAGGCGGCCAATCGATGTTCTCTCTCATTGACGTTTCCATCTCTCCCTCCCTCTCCCTTTCTCTCTCTCTAAAATCAATAAAGAAAAAAAATTAAAAACCACTGTCCATTACATTCCCCTCATGAAGAGGCAGAATACACGTGAACACACAAAACAATGGGAAAGTCTGTCCAACTGAAATTCTTTCTTTAACTCACTGCTTTGCAAATGTGTATGCAACTATGGTCCCCTCTTTCACCTGTTCACATCTCACGAACTCTAATACTCTAGGACAGGGCTTCTCAAACCATAAAGTTAAAACACATTCCCTAAATACCTCATTTAAATGTCGATTCTCATGCAGCAGGTCTGGGGTGGGGACTGAGGGTCTGCGTCTCCAACACACTCCCTAAAGACGCCAGTGCTGGTCCAGGGATCTCTCTTTAGCAAGGACTTGAGAAGATACTTTTTAAAACTTTTTTTAAAATTGATTTTGTAGAAAGAGAGAGAGGGAAAGAGAGGGAGAGAAACATTGATTTTCATCCCACTCATTTATGCATTCATTGGTTGATTCCTGTTTGTGTACTGACCGGGGATCAAACCTGCAATTTTGGCGTACCAAGACAACACCCTAACCAACTGAGCTCCCCAGTCAGGGCCTAAAGAAGACCCTATGAGGAAGGCTACCCTACAGAGACTTCTTTAGAGCTATATAGTTTTGTGATGTGATTTTAATACTTACAGATTCTACATAAAATAATGGGAAAACAAATGATTTGAAGGGGACTAAGTTAAAAACAGGAGGAAGGGAACTCTAAAGGTGATTGACACTGACAGAGTATTAGACAAGGAAAGGGGTAAAAATGAGTCTGCCTTGGCCAGTTTGGCTCAGCGGTTAGAGCGTCGGCCTGCGGACCAGAGAGTCCTGGGCTTGGTTCCCGCTAAGGGCATGTAACTCGACTGCAGTTTGTACCTGCCTCGGTTGGGGTCGTGTGGGTGGCAGCCAGTCGATGTGTCTCTCTCATGTCGATGTTTCTCTCTCTCTCTTCCCTCCTCTCCCTCCCTTCCTCTCTCTTGCTCTATCTAAAGAAAAATGGAAAAATATCCTCGGGTAAGGATTTAAAAAAACGAGTCCTGCCCTGGCTGGTTTTGCTCAGTGGTTAGAGCGTCGGCCTGCGGTCCGGAGAGACCCGGGTTCGGTTCCCGCTAAGGGTATGTACCTCGGTTGCAGTTTGTCCCCAGCCCTGGTTGGTCGTGCGGGTGGCAACCACTTGATGTGTCCCTTTCACATCGATGTTTCTCTCTCTCTCTCTCTCCCTCCCACTCTATCTGTGCAAAAAATGGAAAAATGTCCTCGGGTGAGGATGAAAAAAAACAAGTCCAAATATGAAGGGACCCCTCACTAAGCCAGGCACAGGGTACAGGGAAGAGGTGGAGCCAGAAATGGCAGCACAGAGGAAGGACTCATTTTCTAGTTCTGCGTTACTAATGGGACCATCAGGCAGCCATTGACTGGATTTGTTTTAATCACGAAAAGACTTTCATAACCTCTTCAGATGAATAACCTGTGGTATACAGGTTTGGCAGAGTTCAAAAAGGTCCCTTGAGATAAAAAACTAATTCTACAGAGATATTACTTGTCCACTAAAACTGTGGGAGAAAATTGCCCTTTTTCCAGTCGAGTAATAGGTGAAATCCATGTCGAACCTTTTCTTGGATTAGTCTCTGAAGGTGAATCCCACAGGACAGCATAGCGGTGAACAAGGTCAGCAGGTACTGCTGAACTTTGCAGATGGCAGAGGCCAGGGAGCTGAGGACGGAGTTCAGGCCCACCTTCTCGATCACGTTCTGGAAGGCAGAGGGAGCCTGGCGGGTGACCCTGCACAAGGCCTGCGGAGACAGGAGACAGTCAGACACTCCAAGGGCATCGGCCAGACCCTGGAAAGGAACATACGCTCTGTCAGAGCAGAAGGCGCTCACCTCGCTCCTTCAGTACTTCTGCTGGCTTAAGAAATGGGAAATTTCAACGCATTTGAAAATAAAACAATGAAATACTGTTTTCAGCTGCTAAAGAAAACTGAAGTCGATTTAAAACATTAGTAACTCTTCAAATAATAGCCACATAAATTATGATGAGCTAGCTAAAATGACTCAAGTCTGCACAGACAAACTTCCCTCTAAGTGATAAACATCAAGTGCCCTCTGAGTGCAAACACTAAGCTAAGGGCTAGGGAAACAGTCACAAAGTATGTATCTAACATTATTGTTAGTATGTGAAGAACAGTGAGAACATCTGCAGACTAAGTCCCTCAACAATATGTAAATAAGGTATTATTAACCCCATTTTATAGAGGGTAAAACTAAGGCATAAAATATTTAAGTAATTTACCCAAAAACATACAGCTAGTAGGTGGCAAAGGTGGAATTCAAACTGAGGTAATCAGATCCCTGAGCTTTTCCTGACTTGCTCATTAACTATTAAAGATAAAACCAATAATTAAAAAGCTAATAGAATTTAATAATCACTATAATAGAAGTGGACTCAGTAACCTGCGTGGAATGGTAGGAAAAACAAGTCAGCATCAGCTACCTAAACAAGATATTATGAGGCCAGTTTCTGAAAGGGAAGTGAGAAAGGAACGGGCAGGAAAGGGAGGAAGGAAAATTCTAGGTAGAGACAGAGAATGAGGATTCACACGGCAACAGGGAGATGCAGAGCCTGTTCTAGGACGGGCAAGCTGACGGATGCAAGATGAACATACCTCGAGGGAAGGAGGAGAGGCAGGTGGGAAAGAGGAAAACATGATCCATCTGTAAATGTAGGCTGACACCTGAGAGGGTCTACCAAGCTAGGACCTTTGAATTTTATGCTACGAACCAGTGATTTTCAATTGGTGTGCCGCAAAATTTTTAAAACATGCAAGCCCTGACTATTTAGTCAGGGGCACTACCCTCTTTTCCATTAGACTGTCAAATGAAAATGACAACAGCCTACACAACAATAGCTGTCTGGAGTGAATAAATCAAAATTATACCTTTCTTTTTTGTGTGAAATAGGCAAAAATATGTTTTTTGGTGTGCCACAGATTTTTAGTAATTAGTTTATGTGTGCCATGAGATGAAAAAGGTTGAAAATCATGGCCATAAGCAAAGGGAAGACCTCAAAAGTTTTAAGCAAAAAAGAGGGGTAGTTATATTCTGTGTGTACATGGGAGACTTCAAAGAGAGAAATAACCCTAAGCCAGAAATAGTTTTACAAAAACATTCATTATAATTTATGTCATATAACATCCTTTCTGATTTATGTTTGAAATAGATTTATAACCTTGATAATGAAAAGATCAAGTATAAGATGAATTGTTATTATGAAAAGATCAAGTATAAGATGAATTGTTAGAAATATTATGATGTCAAAAGAAAAAACTGCAAGAGGGAGGGAGAGAAAAGATGAAGACTTTGAAAAATATTTTCATTTTCTTGAACATCTCAGGAAAAAATTAAGTATCTTTTCTAGCCCTGGCTGGTTTGCTCAGCAGTTAGAGCATTGTCCCTCAGACTAATGAGTCTTGGGTTTGATTCCAGTCAAGGGCATGTACCTCGACTGTGGTCCATCCCCAGCCCTGGTTGGGGACGTGCGGGAGGCAACCACTCAATGTGTCCCTCTCACATCAATGGTTCTCTCTCTCTCTCCCTCCCTCTCACTCCATCTGAAGATAAATGAAAAAATATCCTTGGGTGAGGATTAATATATACATTAATAATATATATTAATATATATATTTATCTCCAAGAATGAACTTCCTTTCAAAGTTACTCCTGTTGATAAACAAGGAAAACAAGTGCTGACAGGTATAAAGTCAATCTTCAACCAAAATGAAATGTTTGAAGTGAATGTACTTCTTGGACGCTAAGCCTCACTTCTAGTCTTTATGAAAATGCTAATGTGACCTTATGACAGCCAGAAAGGAAAAGGTGACACACAGTTAACAGTGAAATCCAGAGCCCTGTCCAAATGCTGCCTCCCAGAAGTGACACCAGAGGCGAGAGGCAGGAGAAGGCCCAGGAAGAGTCTCCACCCTTGTATGTCTGTGCTCTTCAAGTTTTTCAAATCAATGCATATTATTTTTTTTAGAATTTTAATTACATTCCAATACAGTGACTGTATTAGACATTTTTTAATTACTATATGGAAATAAACATGTACAGGAAAAGTTTACTTTATTAATAATGTATACATTTATTACCATTTCTGAAGTTACTCAGTAAATATACTGAAAAATGAATATATGCAAGGCACTAAATATATACTGCCCTCCCCCCAAAAAAGGGGTCCCTTTCCTCATGGAACTGATTATCAAATGGGGATACTTATCGAAGTCTTGTCTTAATCATCCACAAATGAGCACAGGACCTCAAAGTGACATCTGCACCCCCATTTCACTGTAGCATTATTCACAATAGCCAAGGTATGGAAACAGCCTAAGTGTCCAGCAACAGAGGAAGAGATAAAAAAAGATGTGGTGTATACATACAACAGAATACCATTCCGCCAGCAGAAAGAAAATCCTGCCATTCGGGACCACATGGAGCGGACCGTGAGGGCATTATGCTGAGTGAGATAAATCAGGCGGAGAAAGACAAATGCTGTATGAAAGCACTTACGTGTGGAATCTTTAAAAGCTGACTCAGAGAAACAGAGACTGGGATGGAGGTTGCCATGGGGAAGAGAGTGGGGAAATAGGGAGATGCTGGTCAAACGTCACCAATTTCCAGTTCTAAGATGTAAGTTCTGGAAATATGATATAGAACATGGTGATTATAGTTAATAATGTTATAATATATACTTGAAGGTTGCTAAGAGAATAGATCATAAATGCTGCATCACAAAAAAAGAAATAATAGTGTGGGATGTGATGGGTGCTAGCTAGCACCAGGGTGGTGGTCATTTTGCACATGTAAGTACCAAGTCAACATGCGGCACACCTTAAACTTACACAGTGTCACATGTCAATGCCGTCTCAACAGAGTGGGGAAAAAAATCACTGACTCCATTTCAAACTTATGCCAGAAATCTGTCTTCATTTACAGACAGCCATATCAGAATGGAATTCCATGATATAAACTCTACTTTGAACACCTTCCAAATAACATTTCTGTCTCCTCTTTCTTCCAAGGGAGTTACAGGTGGGCAAGTTAGATATCACAGTTTGGAAGCTATGAAAGTAGGGTTCTTCAAGTCTATAACCCCCATTGTGTAAGTTTCAGTAGAAAAGTAGCATAATATCTGGAAACGGGAACATGAAAAGTAAATTCACTAACAACGTAGCTGGTTCTGAAAGTAAACATTTTAAAAATTTGTTTGTAATAAATCTAAGGAAACTATTTAGGAAATCAAAACAGAATTTTTTATTATTTTTCTAATTCAAGGGTTTGAATGTAAGAATATTTTCAATGGAGGCCTTAAAGATTATGCTACAACCAGATTTTCAAGGAAATAAAGGTTTCTCCCAACAATGACTTCAATACAGAAAAACAGTAAGTCTCATCAGCAAAACTGACTTTCCAGCGATCTAATACCCCTACCCAATCATGTTGGGGACATTCTGTGATAAAGACGAGTCAACACTACTTCCAAGTGTATTCAAAGCAATAGAAGGGCAACCAGAATAGTCTGGTCTTCAGGATGCTGCTCCAAAGCCTGAGACTTTCCACTAACTGGTCAGTCTGGATATCAAACACAGTGGAGAGCTTCTTGGGACTTAAGAGAACATGGAAAGTGCTTGCATTTTCTGAATCAAAAAAAAATCAGATCTCAAGTCTGCTTTTCAGTGATTTGGTTTTGTAGTATTTACTTCTTAAAATAGAGTTCAAGACTATATTCTACAACTGGGAAGACTAGTTCCAGTTCAAAATTCGCTTCAAAAAGAACATTGTATTACCTCTGGAATTTCTAACAGTCCACTCAATAAAAGTTTTCTGAGAAACCAACTAATTCAAAAAAGAAGTCTGTATATATATTTGAAACAAGAACAGAATCACCATGGAATAAGAAATTTAAGAATCATTTCTTTTTTTTCTTTTGAATGATTTTTTGATGTCATATCAAAATTCCCTTAGAGCTATTTCAAACTACACACACTCGGGTCCAACCCCAGAGATTTTAAGATACATAAGAATAGGGGCAAGGAGTGGATAAGAGAAGAGGAAGTAATCCATGTTGCTGGAAAAGCTCCCAACAACCCTGCAAAACCCTCCCTTTCTCTGCCCTGCATCTCAGCACTGCAGTAACTACGACTGCCCCAGCTATCTCCCTCAAAGACGCCACCTTACTCAACCTAATGCTACAGATCCCTCAGGTTCCCCTGTAGTTCGCAGAGACAGATTCCCTGTAAGCCTAACAATTCCAGGAATTTCTTTTTATCCATCCAATACATTTCCCGAGTCAGGTCCACGCCCTCCGAATACCAGCCCTGAAGTCATGGATGCCACTCCTGAGCGGGCAGGAGAAATCAGCCGTCTTTCACTCCACACCACGCCAGTATTTTCTGAGAGCTCCAAGGTCTAGAGCTGTGGTTGTCAGCAGGCATCAGAATGCCCTGGAGACTTGTTAAAATGCAGATTGCTGGGCTGCTGCCCCTAGTCTCATGCAGCAGGTCTGCATTTCCAACAAGCCCCCAGGTGATGTGCATGCCGCAGTTCTGGGGACCACACCGGTGCAGGGAATCTATGGGGCCAAGAAACAACTAGAAGTGAGTCGGGAAATCAGCAGCAGGGGCAGCAGATTCAGACTATTAGGAGTGGGACAGGGAGCAGGCTGGTGCCTCCACACTGCCTCCTCCAGCCAGTGCTCACACGTTCATTCGGTCAATGGCTACCTACCGAGCACCTGCCGCATGTGCTCAGGAAGGGAGTACGAGGAACGGGGCTCCCCCCTTCCTGCAACGGCGCTCTAATGGGAAAAGATGTGTGTTTGTAAGTTACATCAATTTGGCTGTACCCCTGGGACGGGGGAACAGTGAGAAGAGAGGGGCCAGGCGTGTCCCAACAGAGAAGGTGACATTTAAGCTGAGGCCTGAAAAATGAGGACTGTGTCATGTGAATAGCCAGCACAGAGCACCCTAGGCATGTGGAAAACGGGAACGGTCCTGAGGCAATCATCTCAAAAGTGCTTAGATCCCAGCAATTCTGGAAAATGTCAGAACATGTGTGTTCGAAACAGTGAGTGAGGGAATGAGCATGATGAGATGTTAAAAAAGAGGTAGGCAGGAGCCAAATCACCCAAGTTCTTCAAGGTCATGTGAAGAACCACTACACTTATCACGGGGACCACTTCGTAAAGTACATAAATGTCTAATCTCTATGTCGGTACTTGAAACTAATATAATATTGTATGTCAACTACAGATCATTAATTAATTAATTCTGATCTTTATTGCCAAGTGCGTACATGAACCTCCAGGGCAGAAAGAGAGGAGGAAGCGCAGCTCTGTAAAGCATGCTGGGAAGGAAGCCACTGTCACCCCTGCCAGAAATATGTGTGAACGGACATCAGAAGGGACAGTTTCGGTGTCTGTGACCTCAGTATTTAATAAATTGTCACATATATCTGTTTATGGGCCAGGTACAACTTTCTTAGGATTATGATGTTAAGACAGCTTTGTCTTAGGATCCCCAAACAATAATCTCCTACATTGTCCCCATCCTACATTTTTCCTTGCATCCCGGTAAAGAGTGATGTTTACTGTTACTAACCTCCCACCCTCTGCCCATGATGTGGAAAAGGAGGCCCCTTGACCTCCGCAGGAAAGTCCTAACGTCCAACCACAAGGCCTGGCTCCAACTTAATGGATGAGCAAAGCACAGTCCTGACCGTCCAGTTTAGTCTATAAGGAATTATAATAAAATAAGCTAACATATTACCCTAAAACCAAAAGCACCAGCCAGTTCTTACGTAAGAGTTAACAGTCCCTTCAGGAAAATGGAGGGAAGCTGTTGAAGGGTTTTAGCAGAGAAGAGTGAGAAGATGTGACTCTGTGACATCAGTCTATGTGGAGAGGAGTTAGTGGAGCATCACACTGGCCACAGAAAGAACCGTTAGGAGGCTACGCCAGTGGTCCGGGTGAGAGATGGTGGTAGCCTGGGATATGGGGACAGCAACACAGCCACAGAGAGATCACCAGATCTGAGAGATACTTACGAATTAGACTCATAGGACAGGCTAGCTGGATGAAAACAAAGTGGAAGAAGCTAAGGGAAGGGAAAATACCCAAAATGACACCTAACCCTTCATTTTCCTTCATCCATCTTTTCTTACCTTCCCCTCCCAAGATCAACATGTCAGAGTCTGAGGAAGGGGCGGGGAAAGGGAGCACTGAGCACCGTGGCCGAGAACAGAGTGGCAGGGAGATGGAGGGTAAACAGAGGAGGTAGCCACAGTGGGTGGAGCCGATGACTCTGAATAAATAAATTAACTGATGGGAAAAAATCAGTAAGTATATTGAGAATAATAGGAACCAGGTTACTCTCTATCTGAGAAGGAATTAACAAACAGAAAAAAGGTCTAGAAAGAATCCGAAGGTATTAAAGTTGGAAGATTAGCCCTGGCCAGTTTGGCTCAGTGGTTAAAGCGTCGACCTGCGGACCAAGAGAGTCCTGAGTTCGGTTCCCGCTAAGGGCACGTACCTCCGTTGCAGTTTGTCCCGGGCCCCAGCTGGGGTCATGTGGGTGGCAACCAGTCGATGCGTCTCTCTCACATTGATGTGTGTGTGTCTCTCTCTCTTCCCCCCTCTCTCCTTCCTGCTCTATCTGAAGATAAATGTAAAAATGTCCTCGGGTGAGGATAAAAAATAAAAAATTTAAAAATTTACAAAATATAAAGTTGGAAGATTATATTAATATGAATGCATGAGTCCTGCTCTAAATATGTAGTGATATAAATATATATACAAGAACAATTATAAATATATGTCTGTATATGAGTACATGGTGTTTTCTAGTTGTATATCGAGAGGGCCTAGATGCAATGACACCCCACAGCAGTAAGCACAAAGAGTACCCAGATCTTGGTTTCTAAATACCAAAGGCTCCTTGGAGACATGACAGATCCCAGAGCAGCGGAGAGAAAATACAAAATTATCCCAGAACATTACATGGTGTCAAAAAGTAAGGAAATGCTCAAACAATGATAGAAATAGGTCAACAGGACACAGAAGCCAGCTCATGATCACACGGGCCAAATCTAGGACGACTTGAGCATCCAAACTATAAATCTAGTAGCAGCAGCAGTATCACACTACAATCCATTGACTAAAATGGGCACCCGTGACAATGACATAAATACAGGCACGCATGCGCGAGAAGGAAAGGCGCTTCCTACAACAGAATTCCAACCAATATCGAAGGCCTGATTTTACACCGCTCATGAGCTATACAATACAAATGGTTTTGACATTTTCAAAGGGTTGTAGAAAACAAACAAAGAGAATATGCCACAGAGGCTGTATGTGGCCTACAAAGCATGAGACATTTATTATCTGGCAATTTCTTTATAGAAAATATTTGCCAAGCCATCGTATCAAAAGAATGGTACAAATAGACGGTCATCATATGGCAACCATCGCAGAAGTGCCTGGTCCAGGCAGCAGTCCTCGGTGGTGCCAAGGAGGTTTCATGAGGAGGCACCAGACAGGCCCAGGTTGAGCCCCCCTCTACAAAATAAGAGCCCTGAGTTATTTAAACATGTGAATGGCAGCAAGTACAGAGAAAGGCTGAGGAACTGTTTCATACTGGAAGACACTAAAAAGACATGAAAGCAATTTACAACACTTGACACTGAATAGGAGCCTGGAACAGAAAAGGAAAAAAAAAAAAGACATTCTTGATACAACTGGCAAAAGTTCAGTGGAAAATAATTATTTAGATGAATGCTAAGAACAAAATACGAGAAGCCCAAAATGAGAGAGTGAAGCTTGATGTGATAGATGAAGAAAGGACTAGAAAGTACAAGACTTTGGTGGGAACAACTGGAAAAAAATGTTGCCAAGAAAAGAAACCATGCTGATATAGATGAAAATGAGAACATTAACACAATTAAAGCAAGACAGATTTATTTTTTTAAAGGTCCAAGATTAAAATGGATGCCTTGAGATATAATTCCAAGACGCCTGGAGAAAGTTCACTGGCATACTTTGTTACTGACTCTGACAGTTCCTCCATAATTACTCACACCATAATTGGGTTTTATAATTTGGAAATCATGTGGCTCCTGAAGCAGGTGTGTGTGTGTGTGTGTGTGTGTGTGTGTGTGTGTGTGTGATATGTTATATATCCTTTGCTTAATGATATTCTATGAGCAGGATTGTTAGCCCTTGATCTTCAAAGTAACATAGGTAAATTTAAGATAAGAACTGAAAAATATCTATAAATATCCACAGGATTTAGCAACATGAAAGTCATTATAGATCTCAACAGGATCAGCTTCAGTGACATTTTTAGGACAGCACCAGACAGGAGTAGTAATTTGTGATGATAATCTTTATAAACAAGTATGGCTATAAAGGGGGCTATGCAGCCTCGAGTCCCTTTGACATGTTTCTCTGTGTGCTTTTCTCTTCTTTTTAATGGGGCAAAGAATACCTGAATGGTTATTAGAAGGCTCTAGAAGATAAGGATGGGTTAGTGGTTTAGGAAAGAGCAAAAATAACCATTTGAGTGAGGTTCCCAAAGAGGGACCGGGAGATCTGGAGCAACAGGCAAGGGTGCCTGTGACAGCAGAAGGGACAGGCCGTCGCTGCAGCGGGGGAGCTGAGAGGACAGGTGTGGATGTGAGTACATCTCCCGAGACGGCAGATTTCAGTGAGGGTAATTCCCACTGGGTGTCTGCACTTTCCTCTGGGAAGGAGGGGAAAAGTCATTTACGGAGGGTGCAGGAGGAAAATGTGGGACTGGAGGGTTAAGGAAAGGGGGACGTTATGAAACTGTCACGGGGGGGAGTGTAAGAATGAGCAGATGACAGAAGGACAGTGTGGCTGCCATATGATGTCGAGAGTTCCAATGAGATTAGTGATCAAAAAGAGCACTGAAACCAATTACATGAGAAAGGGGTGTATTTGTTCAAAAGACCATTAAACTGATAGAACCACGTTAACACATCTTCAAACATAATTAACCTTTATACAAAGTTATTATGACCATGTGAGCAAAACAGTAGACAACCAATCAAAATACAAAACCCCAAAAACCACAGATGCCTGAAAACAAATTCATTTGAACCACATGATAAACCCATTGAATATAAACTCTGAAAGAGGGAGCTGGCAGGAAACTCAGGGAGCACGAAAAACACACCAAACCGAACCCTGCACCCTGCCCACTGTCACAGGTTTCCACTCTCGCCTCCAAACACTTTGTAAAACCATCACCGTGGTCCACACAGTCCCAACAGAATTTCCTGATGTGCCAAGGTTTTCCAGCCCCCATTTTGAAACTTCTACTTGAGGAGAAAATAAAGTTATTGTTCTCACCAACTATTACTCTGAGGTTTCTATTCACTCTGTTTCTGGCACAGCTTTTGCTACTAATAGGATGGGGATACTAAGAGTATGAGATTATTGTTCGGGGATCCGAAGACAAACTTGGTATTAAAATATACACAAATATATCCCCAAAAGATGCTCCATCTTACCGATATTGCTGTTATCCTGAGAGAATCAACAGTGGAATGTTTGAATAGGTACCATAAAACAGGTCCAGTTTCTCCCGTGATAAAGCCCTGGGCCTGAGCAGAACAGGTGGTGCAGACATTTTCAATAATCTTTGCTGCCATGTGATTCACAACACGTTCTTCCTGGAAAATGAGCGAGCGGAGAAAAAGGAGATTAAAAGGGAATTATTTAGTATGAGAAACATATATATGTCACTTTTTCATAACTATTGCAAATAAAGGCCTGATACCACGAGGGTATTATCTGCCCATGGATGTGTTAGGTATTTTAGGAGAGGTGATCATTCTTTCAGGCTATTATGAAACTATTACCAATAACCTAGCATAATATAATTATAATATATTTTAATAAAAAGGCTGAAATAATATGGAAAATAAACAATATAAGCATAACAGAATTAGAAGATAATTTTAAAGTTATAACGAGCAGGCAGAACAATCCTAAGAAATCACTCAAGGCTGAGATAATTAGTGTACCAGTTGGCCAAAGACCATCTAAATAGGGGACATTAAGGAAAATCCTAAGAAAGGTGTAACCCCACAATGGTGTGACCAAACTAACCTTAAAGGCTATTCTGGATTGTCCTAATAATGCTTAAAATCCAGCCTCAAAAAGGAACAAACGCCCTGACCAGTTTGTTCAGTGGTTAGAGCGCCGGCCCAAGCACAGAAGGGTCGCAAGTTCAATTCCAGGTCAAGAGTACGTACCTAGGTTGCAGGTTTAATCCCCAGCCCCTGTCAGGGTCATGCTGGAAGCAACCAATCACTGTCTCTCTCTCACGTCGATGTCCCCCCCCCTTACCCCTTCCTCCCTCCCTTCCACTCTCTCTAAAAATCAATGGAAAAAATCCTCAGGTAAGGATTTTTTTAAAAAAAGGATCAAAGTATTTACAAGTAACTCAAATGAATCCAAGAAAACGGACAAAAGTACTTAAAAGAATTCAGAAAAACTGTCAATATAAAAATCACAATGTCTGAAATCCAATTAAATATTACCACACATGCAAAGCTGCAGGAAAATATGACTCATAAGAATAAGAAAATTCTGCCCTGGCCGGTTTGGTTCAGCGGTTAGAGTGTCGGCCTGCGGTCCTGAGAGACCCGGGTTCAGTTCCTGCTAAGGGCGCATACCTCAGTTGCAGTTTGTCCCCAGCCCTGGTCAGTTGTGCGGGTGGCAGCCACTCGATGTGTTCCTTTCACATCGATGTTTCTCTCTCTCCCTCCCACTCTACCTGAACAAAAAATGGAAAAATGTCCTCGGGTGAGGATAAAAAAAAAAAAAAAAAAAAGAATAAGAAAATTCGCCATGGCCAGTGTGGCTCAGCTGGTTGAGCATTGTCCTGTGCACCAAAAGGTCACCAGTTTGATTCCTGGTGAGGGCAAGTATGGGAGGCAACCGATCGATGTTCCTCTCTTACACCAATGTCTCTCTCTCTTCCTTTTTTTTTTTTTAATTTTTTGTTCTTTATTGATTTGAAAGAGAGAGGAACGGAGAAACATTGATGAGAGAGAACACCAACTGGCCACCTCCTGCATGCCCCCCCCTAGGGATTTGGCCCACACCTGGGCATGTACCCTGATCTTGAATTGAACTGGCGACCTCTTGGTGCGTGGGTCAACGCTCAACCACTGAGCCCCACCAGCTGGGCTCCCCTCCTCACTTTCTAAAAGCAATAAAAAACCTATCCTCAGGTGAGGGTTTAATGTAAGTGTGTGTGTGTGTGTGTGTGTGTGTGTGTGTGTGTGTGTCAAAGTATTATATCTATGATATAATCCTATGTTTGTTTCACAAAAAATATACATATATAAATACACTAGTAAAGAAAGGGCATAGAAAGACATATAATACTGTTACTTGTGATTACAATTAGTGGGTGTGGGGAGAGGGGTCCACTAATTCTACTTTAGACATTTGTACATTGTTTGGATTGTTGCAGTATGAGTACATTACTTTTCAACCCAAACTTATATTTTTTTCATGAAAAAATATTTTTTTAAAAATGAGAAGACAATGAATTATGTCTCAAGCTATAGTTTTACCCTCTACTAGCTATATATCCTTGGGCATTGCCGTCTCTGTGCTTCAGCTGTATCATCTATAAAACAGAGATAATAAAACACAAGGCAGTCTGAAAATTAAATGAGACAACATACACGAATACTTAATCTAGGTCATAAAAAGTAGTAAATTCTCAATGTGTTAGCTTTTCTTCCTATTATTATTAATATCATACAGGGTGAATTGTAAAGCTGCTAAAAAAGAAATTTCAAAGATACTTGAACTTCCTCAAACTTTGACACATTTCATTGCTCAGAATGAGTACTGGAGAGAATGCTTCCTCCCATTCCTGATGTTTCCTCCCATGTAGCTAGGATACATTAATGTAACACTTTGAACCTCTCTCTGTTCCTTTCCTCAACTCTACCCAAGGGGAAATAAAAGGCTTCATCTAGTTGGCAAATTTGAAAAGAATAAACTGGGAGTGCTCAGAGCTCAGCTCAACTCCTCCCCCTTTTCCCTGAGCACAGGGCCACCCACAGAGTTGTCTTCTAATATCGGCCCCCTGTCCCCTCTCCCCTCATCATAAGTCCCCGGACAGGACTCTGCTTGGAGAGTGCCACTGCATCTGGGGAACGCCAAGATTTGCTCACTATGGGAGTTCAATATTAGGAGGCCTATTTGCCCGTAGATACAAGCTATGTCCTCCACCCTAGTTCTCATTACATACCTAGATGACATTTCATCCAGCATGCCTTGCTCTTTGTCTCATTTCTCATTAGGTTCTGAGACTTTTCCCCTGAATGTGTGGTGAGGGGAAAGGTGCTATTATGCAGGACCTCTCAAATACCTTAACATGAGCTTTACATCATAATTGTCAGTCAATTCCTAGAGGACTCATTCCTGGTACCAGAAAACCACAACTATTTTAGCACCTAGGTTGGAAAGGGGCCATGTGTCATCCCAGTATTCTATAAACTCAGTGAGACTGTCAGGCCAATTCAACTTGCTACTGCCTGAAATGAGCCATCCCAGTGCCTCTGGGATCCTCGTGGGACACCACACAAGCACAAGGATTGGTGCTATTTTCTGCTTAATTAACTCTTCGGAAGGGATAACTGAACTGAACTAATATCTGCCATTTAAATCAAAGACCTACTTCATCATATCATGAGGATAAAAGCTATGATGATTAGAAAATGATCCTATGAAATAAGCCTATGATAATTAGGCTTTTAATGAATAGCTGTACTATGTTTTAATGGTGTTAAGTAGAGCTAATGTATTGCAGGCAGTCTTGACAAAACAAAAAAGTTTTGGTGCCAATATAATTATAATCTACATGCCTACTTTTCCAAAACAGAATAACAAAATTAACATCTAAAATACTGACATTAATTATTTTCACATTTGTAGACTTAATAAAACTAAGATCCTTCTTCTAAAGCAGTGGTTCTCAATGTTCCTAATGCCGTGGCCCTTTAATACAGTTCCTCATGTTGTGGTGACCCCCAACCATAAAATTATTTTTGTTGCTACTTCATAATTGTAATTTTGCTCCTGTTATGTCTTAGGCGACCCCTGTGAAAGGGTCATTCGACCCCCAAAGGGGTCACGACCCACAGGTTGAGAACAACTGTAAAGGCTTCAAGGTACCTGGAGTTTATTTTACGTAGTTTATTGTTTTAGTAACCCATGCAATCAAAATAATAGGATTTTCATGTCTTACAATATAGTGAGCTAGATTATCTGGACAACTCTATCCCTCTAAAAGCACCTAAAAATGCTAGATATAAAATAAGAAAATAAAGGCATCAAATTCTTGAACGAGCACCAAATTCTAAGGCCAGTGACTATGTAGGCAGGAACCCTGAGAAGAACCCAGAGCACTTCGGCTAATGTTTGTCCCAAGAGCACTGTCCAACAAGGTGAACAAGAGCAGTGCGAGGCGAGGCTGACGGCCCACACAAGTAGGAGTCAAATGAAGACCTCCCTCACCCCTGACCTGGCCAGTGGCTACAACCTAGTGTAACAGGTGGGAGTAAGAAATAACTCTCCCATTTCCCTGACTCCCCAATGATCAGAGTTGGGGGCTGAAGGTGCATGCTGGGGAAAGAAGGTTATAGGAGGAGAAGCCTTTAAGAAGCTGAAGGAGCCACAGTTGCTCTGGCAACTGACTTAATAGACATAACTGTGGTCAGAAGACAATGAAACAGTATTTTCCATTGTTGAGAGGAGTGTCAACCTATCAACCTACAATTGTATCCACAGACAAAACTGTATTTCAAAAACAAGAGCAACAGAATAGCCACTAAGAGAATAAGAGGAATTATAAAAAAATACATTTTAGCCCTGGCTGGTTTGGCTCAGCGGTCAGAGCATCAGTCTGCGGTCCAGAGAGACCCGGGTTCGGTTCTTGCTAAGGGCATGTACCTCGGTTGCAGTTTGTCCCCGGCCCTAGTTGGGTCGTGTGGGTGGCAGCCACTCGATGTGTCCCTTTCACGTCGATGTTTCTCTCTCTCTCTCTCCCTCTCACTCTATCTGAACAAAAAATGGAAAAGTGTCCTTGGGTGAGGATAAAAAATAAATTAAATAAAATAAATTTTAAACTAAAAGAAGACAAAAAAAAAAAAACACAAAACAGATGGAACAAGTAGCAAAACATAAGATGGCAGCTATAAATCCAACCAAACCAGCAATTACAATAAATTTAAATGAACTAAATACTACAGTTAAGAGAAAATGACTATAAAAAGAAGTTTTAAAAAATACAACTATATGAAGAGACACCTCAAAAATATAGTTAGAAAGGCTGAAAATAAGAGAATGAAAAAGGATATACCAGTCAGATCTAACCCAAAGAAAGATAGTATATTAATATTAGAACAGACTTTGGGCAAAAAGCATTAATGGTGATTTTTAAAGGTCATAATATAATAATAAAAATTTCAATAATCCAAGGGAAAAACCATCTAAATTTTCTATATATCTAATAACTAATACTCAAAATACATAAAAGCAAAATTTGACAAAATTGCAATCCTACCAAAAAAGACAATTTAAACATATATCTCAATAGCTGATAAAAATAGACAAAAACCAACCAGCATAGATAGAGAAGATTTATATCCATAGCTACCTGTGTATCAGATTAACAAACTTGACCTAATGGGCAGAAAAAAAAAACATTACTCAGCACCAGCAGAACACGCCTTTTTCCCCTCTACGTATACACAGACTGAGTCATAAGAAAAGTCTCAACAAATTCCAAAGAATTAAAATCATACACACACCATTCGTTCTAACCATAATACCATTAAGCTAAAAATAATAAAAAGATAAATGGAAAGACTCTAAGAACAGGTATAAGATGAAAAAGAAATAGAAGGGTACAGATCTAAGAGTACAAAGCATGTAATGAAGAGTACAAAGCATCTAAGAGCCCAAGGAATATGAAGATTCACACAGAGATCCAACCAATGTTAATCCTTGGAAGACACCACAGCTGGTATCTGGTCAGTCCTTACATGCCAGCACCAGCAAAGCCATGTGCTGGAGCCTCCCCGCGGAGCTAGCTGGCACAGGAGGAGGGAGCTACAAACCTCACACTTCACATACTCCTCTGTACACGACACAGTTCACAAGAAAAGAACCTAGATTCAGAAACAACAGTAAATTCTCTACATAGAAAAAAATGTTTAATTGTTGAAGATAAAAGGCTTAAAAATTATTTACCTTCAACTATGTCCTGAATATATTAGAGATATATACAAAAGAACTGTTACAGTTGACTTATTTTCGTAAAAAAAAAAAAAAAAAAAGGAATATTTTAGGGGGTACAATCACCCCCTAATTTATCAGTATTAGTGTGTATGCTGCCAAAGCACCAACATTACTGCTTTTCAAATATACAACATAAAATTTTCATAAATTAGAGAGTTCTGGACCCGCCCAACCCTCCCTCCACCACCTTATGAAAAATACACAAGACTTGCCATCACACCAAGACAAAAAAAATGCAAGTATGTTACTAAAATACAAAACAAGCCCTGGCCAGTTTGGCTCAGCAGTTGAGCGTCAGCCTGAGGACTAGAGTCCCGGATTCGGTTCCCAATAGGGGCACGTATCACAAAAAAAATATTATATATACATATATATATATAGTTTGATATCCATGTGTATTGTTTTAAAATTATTGTTAATAACTATACTATAAAGTATTAACAATAATTTTAAAACAATACACATGGATATCAAACATTATTCTTCATGTTATATATACAATGAAAAACATGAGATGAGGAGGAGAGAAGATACTTAATAAAGGAAACAACCTCATGAACTAGAATTAATAATCTTTACTAGGCATTGATCTAAGTTTTCAAAACTGAAGATATAAAGTTTTTTTTAATTTATTTATTTATTTATTTTTGTTACAGATGTTTCTCCTTTTTTGAAGATATAAAGTTTTAAAATTCATTTTATACTGTGAAAAGAATTCCTAGATGACTCCTTTGTCCTCGGTGTTCCTATATTTTGTTCTTTTGCATTTATTTTCTTGGCATATCTTTATCTTATCTCTCACAACACATGGGATCTGAGCGTGGATAGAAACGTCATGTCTTCATCTGTGAGCCCCCAAGTGTGCCTAGCTTGAGGCCTTGAATGATACCTAAACACGTCCTTTGACTACAGATAAACATGACTTAACTGTCCTATTATTGATAAAATACAATTTACTGGCTTCCTTCACATCCCATACTGACAACTGAAAACGCATCAACGCTACGGGCTAGAACGTGTCCAGATCTCATGTCAGGATCGCTGGGGGCACCTTGCAGTGCTTCACACTCGGAACGTTATGCCATCGCCAGGTAGTAATGAACTCAAAAGGAAGATGTTTACTATGACATATTTTTTTCATTCCTTAAGGAAAGTTTTTAGCCTATGGCTTTGCCTTGGGTGAAACCATGTCAAATGGTTTAAAGCAAACAGGAAACAGCCAACCTTTTAGGTCAGTTACAAACCCCTCCTGAAGTTACACGGAGGCACTACACGTACCAGTTGGTTGGTTGGCGAGCTGGCTGGTGTTGTCATTAACAGCAGCGTCACAAGGGACGTGAATAAACTGAAAAACCACATCACATAATAAATACTACCCACTAGGAAACCAGTGGCCACCAGTGGAAGCTCCCCTGTTTCCGAACCACAAAACGGCAGCCTGACCAGCCAGGCAGGGGGCTCCTGAGGCTGGCAGAAAGTCCCTGCGTACACCTTGCTTACCCAGCTGGTGTGGCGATAACTTTCAAAGGGGAGAAGGGGTAAGAACATGTTATTAAAAGCTACTTATGTTGTATATATTTGCTATCATCTTTTAAAAAGCAAGACATTGGAAAAAGTGAATCAGAAGGTTGGTTCATTTTCACACCTGCTCCACTGGAGGTCAGTTGCTGAGGGTGGCTTGTCGGGAAGATTTAAATTCAGGAGCGACACCTGGTTGACAAGCTCCCCACTGCTGCAGGCGACAATCCCACGCAGCAGCCCGAGGGTTATTACAATGGAGGGTGGCTACAGAGGACAACAAAGGAGCCTTACCCCTTCCCGAAGGCACCTCATTAGCACCGTGTATGCAGCCAAGGGAACAGCCCAGCCTTCTCCAGGGTGCTTTTTTTTTTCTTCCTAAAACGAAGTGGAAGAACAGGCTATGAAGCTAACAGCACAAAAGAGATTAACCCATTCAAGAGAAAAGCACGATTTCAAATACACAAACTATCTAAAACTTCTTAATGTTCTCTTCAAAGTACAGTTTACTACCTGACAATTACGGTATGATTAGGGGTCTCTCACTGCATGTACAGTTGTTCTCCCATTTCTTGCTACAATGCATGTGATGTCAATACAATCCCCTCATCAGAAACTGGATGAAGAGAACTAAGAAATGCCACCATGATATGGTTGATAGAGAAACCACTCTATTGATAATTGCAGATGATAATACAGATACTCCTACCTAAAAGGTATCACATGACCTGGAATGATTTGAAAGCACAGAATACACAGCTTTTAGTAATAGCTCAGGATAATTCATAAACACAAGTCAGAAGCAGAATGTTACCTAGTAAAACAATGTGCTAAATTTAAAAAGCCATTATGATTAGCAGGTAGACTTATTTTAATGACATGAGCAACACTTATCTCACAGAAAAACCAAATTAGGGTAATAACCACAAGAATATTCCTGCAGCACAGAGAACAAAATCACCAAATGAGCCCTAGCCAGTTTTGCTCAGTGGTTAGAGCATCGGCCCAGAGACTAGAGTGTCCTGGGTTCGGTTCCCCCTAGGAGTACCTACTTTGGTTGCGATTTGTCCCCAGCCCCAGTTGGGGTCGTGCGGGTAGCAACGAATCAATGTGTCTCTCACATCGATGTTTCTCTCTCCTCTTCCTCCCTCTCCCCCTCCTGCTCTATCTGAAGATAAATGCAAAAATGTCCTCGGGTGATGATAAAAAAAAAAAAAATCACCAAATGAATCGGGTGTCAGACAGAAAGAGGGAAAATTAATCTCTTTGAAGCCAAACAAATTTGGTTCTGCTCAGAGCTAGTATTTCTTTAAGGTTGTCCGAATGTTAGAATTGGTACCTTCCAGATCCAAATATATTTTATATCAATGATGAGGACTGTGATCCATTAAAACTGTACCTTAATCACAGAAGTCCGCAAATGTTCATAATCTAGACATTATGCCAATTTAGAGACGCACGAATTCAGCACACAGCTGGACTTCCCAATACAACTTTCTTCTCCTCCAGTTCGCTTACGCAAAGCCCCAACCTTTCTTTAACATCACTGGACTTTATCCCCCTCCCCCCACCCCAGCCTATCCCCTACTGGCCCTACCTGCTCTAGCATGTCCTCTCCTGCCAAAAGCCTGGTGACCTCTGCTCTGGCGTTCCCTTTCCCGCGGCTGGGCGAGCGCAGCCCTGGAGGAAGCCAGCAGCTGGACCCTCAGAGGGATGTCACGAGAACACAGAGTCTGTGAATGACTTGGGATCAGGGACCTTCAGCATCACTCCCCAGGACTGGTTCTCTGTCTCACCAGTTCCCTCGTTTCTCCTTCCTTCGGAGATCAAGGTCGTTGTGAGGAAGGAACTAACTGGCCTACACTGTAGCCATCTGCTACCGAGGGGCTGTAACAGAACAGGCTCCCCTTCCTTCCGCATGGGCCAGGAGCCCGTTCCCATCCCCCCTCCTTCAGGGTCATTAGTTTATGGACTGGCCCTTACTGTTCCTGAATTTCCAATGTCCTGTCCCCACTGCACCCTTGCCACTTCCTCTGCAACAGGATCACTATCTCCCACTTTCAGAGCAGGGCCTCTTCAGCCCCTGCACCTCCGCTCCTTTTCCCAACCCATTTCGTTTGCCACTGACTTCCTCAGTTTCCCCACTTCCCATTAAATCCTCCACACACTCCAATCTGCCTGTCTCCCTCGCTCGCTCCGGGTGAAACCCACAATACATAAATCAGCTCATCGCGTCACCAGGGACTTTCATGTCACTCAATCCAGTGTGCTTTTTCTTGGACTGTAAGCTGTATTTATTCAGCTCTACTGATTTTCTCTTTCTGAAACCCCCTTTTCACTCTCCTAACTTTGCTCCTACTTCACTTATTCTCACTCGGGTTCTCAGAATCCTCTCTACCACTCTCCAATCCATTCTCCACATTCAAACCAGAGGAATCTTCTTGGCATTTAAATCAGATGACTTCACCCTTCTTTAAAGCCCTCAAGGGCCCTTAGGAGCATGTCCCAGCCAGGTTCCCCAGCCCAGCTCCTTGCTCACTTCCCTCCTGTCCCACTGGCCTGGGTACAGTTCATGCATGGAAAGAGCACCTACTAGGTGCCAGGAACTCTTCTAAACAATGGCCACACACATGCGAACATGCTAGATACATTTCCTGCTACAATAGTGCTTAGTGGGGACAGAGATTTAAGTAGTAGTGGTAAAAAAAGCAAGTAAGTCAAGGTAGTGATGAGGGCCATACGAAAACACAGCAGGTAAGGGTGGAGGAAGACTGTACACAGGGTGGCTCCATCTCACATGGCTACAGCCAGGGAAGGTCTCTGACGGGGTCCAGTGAACACACAGAAAGCGCAAACGTCTGGGGAAACTGCGAGCAGGAGGAAGCGCAGGTGCAGAGGGAGTTGTGCAGGCAGGAGCAGGGCTCCCTGCGCTCAAGCAACTGTGGGGAGTCAGGGTGGCTGAAGGAGGGGGTGGGAAGGAGGGAGGGAGGACGGGCGGAGAGCACATAGGCGCTGGGGAGGCAGCCCACAGGGCCCAGAAGGCAACTGCAGGGGCTAAGGACAATGAGCAAGACAAGAGAGCTCTGCGGAGTGACCCCATACGTAGTCTCTCATGTGTTTTTAACAGGCTCAGTCTGGCTGATGTCTGGAAAACTGACTTTTACAGACACAAGAGTGAAGCAAGGAGACTGTGGACTGTGTGGGTGTTCTTACAACAAGGAGGAGAGAGATGGTTATGAGTTGGACACCAAAAAAAAAAAGACAAAATAGGAATACATGGACTCAGGTGGGAGTCATCTCTGACAAAAGAAAGAAAAAAATATATAAACTGAAACTCAATTGCCTTATAACATCCTCTACAGAATCACACTCTGGTTTTCTGTCCTCCAGCTTGTAACCTTGGGGTGTTCCCAGAGCATTCACAGGACAGGGTTTAGGTTGTATTACATCTAGTGTGTACGATCACTGCAGATCAGCCTCGCTAGGTCAGTGCTGACTTGCAACCTTGGGGTGTTCCAGAGCATCCACAGGACAGGGAGTAGGCTCTATTATATACAACAGTGTGTACGATCACTGCAGGTCAGCCTCGCCAGGTCAGCACTGAGTTGTAACCTTGGGGTGTTCCAGAGCATCCACAGGACAGGGCTTAGGCTGTATTACATCTAGTGTGTACGATCACTGCAGGTCAGCCTCGCTAGGTCAGCGCTGACTTGTAACCTTGGGGTGTTCCAGAGCATCCACAGGAACGGGCTTAGGCTGTATTACATCTAGTGTGTACGATCACTGCAGGTCAGCCTCGCCAGGTCAGCACTGACTTGTAACCTTGGGGTGTTCCAGAGCATCCACAGGACAGGGAGTAGGCTCTATTATATACAACAGTGTGTACGATTACTACAGGTCAGCCTCACCAGGTCAGCACTGACTTGCAATTTTGGGGTGTTCCAGAGCATCCAGAGGACAGGGCTTAGACTCTATTATATACAACAGTGTGTACGATCACTGCAGGTCAGCCTCGCCAGGTCAGCATTGACTTGCAACCTTGGGGTGTTCCAGAGCATCCACAGGACAGGGAGTAGGCTCTATTATATACAACAGTGTGTACGATCACTGCAGGTCAGCCTCGCCAGGTCAGCACTGACTTGCAATTTTGGGGTGTTCCAGAGCATTCACAGGACAGGGAGTAGGCTCCATTATATACAACAGTGTGTACTATCACTGTAAGTCAGCCTCGCTAGGTCAGCACTGACTTGAGATTTCAAGGTTGACATATATTCAAAATGACAATTCCACAAAAGCCCTGGGCTCATGAAACTTAGGATTTTCGTGGACCCAGGGACAGAATTTCCTTTTCTGCTTTGCTATCATAAGCTATGGTTGAATGTCATGGCCACAGACATGGGCTTTATTAGAATAGCCCAGCTTATATCCAATTAGAGCAAGTACCAAGGAAAAGGCTTCTCGAGATCTACTTTTAGAAGCAATCGGAATATGATGCTGTATGATCCCATTTATGTAAGATTCTAGAAAACGGAAACTTGTCTATAAGACAGAAAGCAAATCAATGGTTGCCCGGGGGCAAGAGGGGGCAGGGAAAAGGGAGTTTTGGAGGAGCTAGGTAAGGTCATTATCTTGATTGTGGCGATGGTTTCACAGGAATACACATCTATCAAAATTGATCAGATTGTCATCTTTAAACACGTGCAGTTTATTGCATTCCAACTATACCTCAATTAAGCTGGAGGGACATTTAAATAAAAAAAAGAAATTAGACCAGACTCATAACTTTTAAGGAAAATGTTTTAAAAATATAAATGTACAAACATGTCATTGTTTTGTGCACTGGAGCACCAAATACCATAAATACACCAATACTTTCCTAACTGACTGATACACAATCCTCAATACTTCCCAAGCTGATCTGCATATTCAATGCAGTTCTTTTTAATGGTCTGCAGAATTGGACAAGCTGATTTTAACATTTATTCTGACATGTAAAGGGCCAGGAATAGCCTAGCCATTTATGAAAAGAATAAGAAGGAGTGATTTGCTACACCAGCTATCAATACTAATTATGGAGCTAAATTATTTTAAATACTGACGTTTGATAACAATTGTGGTAGTTGCCTTAAAATGATTGTCCAAATAGTCAGTTTAATTTACATACTAAGGATACACAGACGATACAACAGTTAAGCAAGTTCTAGAACCAAAACAGCAGAAAGACAATGAGAATTGCCTGAATAACCTGTAATTTACTGGTACTTATTCAAGTTTCAAGAGTAGCAAATGAAATGAATAACTCATAATTTAGTGGTATCTCTTCAGTAATATTCTGTACACACATTAATGAAACACTTGTTTTCCCTTGTTGAGTTCAATAGCACTTCCGTACTGTAACCGAAGAAATAAGTCACGTTCTCAGAGCTGTGTTAAGAGCTATATTTACAAAAAAAAAAAAAAAAAAAAAGAGCTATACTTGCACAAAGTAGTGTTTTAACCTGAAATGGAGCTTTCGTACTGGGGGGAACAATGAACCCCGCCAGTCTGAAGGGGAACCCCTCTGGTCTGAAGGGTTCACAGGTGGCAGCCACCTGGGCAGTGCTTCTGGACTTTCTGTCCACTGGCTTCAAACTCTGACCTGAGGTCTTCTCCACTCTAAATAAAGCAGCGACTTTCAACCTTTCTCATCTCATGACACACACAAACTAATTACCAAAAATCTAAGGCACACCAAAAACTATTATTTTTTGCAGATCTAACAAAAAGAATAGGTATAATCTGATTCATTCGCACCGGACGGCTATTGCTGTGTTGGCTGTTGTCATTTTTTATTTGACACTCTAAGGGAAGAGAGGTCAGTGCCCTGACTAAACAGTCCGGCACTGCACGTTGCAAACATTCTTCAGCTCACGGTAGAAAATCGCTGCCCTCAGGTGGAAAAGGCACTGGGGGAGATGGCGACAGACAGATAGAGAGGGAGAGAGACAGGGAGACAGACAGACACCAGCAGCCTTTCTCCTCCGGAAGTCAAATGTGTCCTGAGTTCCTGAGCATGCTCTGAGGGCCCCGCCAGGAGGCTTCCAGAGGCCTGTGAGCCAGGACCTGCCGGAGCACGTCGGGCGGCAGCAGCGCTCAGCCCGGCCGGTCTCACCTGGGTGGCCACGAGATAGATGAGCTCCCCGAGGGTTGGTAAAAGGCACTGTTTTAATTTGCTGTTCCTGAAGTTTTCCCTAATTAATTCCGTTAAGAGAGTAATTGCCTGAAAAGAGAAAAAAAGGATATTATTTCTTATGTACCTCTCGGTTCTTTAACCTCTATGTAAAAGGCAAGGCACTCTACAGAATTCACCTTCCATTTGTAAGAATCAGTTTCCAAATTACTTTCAAAACATGGGTCTTATTCCTGAAAAAACAGTAACGCTCCCCAGTGAAGGTAACAATATATCCAGAAAAGGAAACTCACATCTGGATGGCACTTATCAGTTACCAAACACTCATGGGCTCGCTGATCCTGTGAGGCAGCTGTGGAGGCAGGACACTCGGATGAGAGGTCCAGCAATGCTCCATCCAGTTCACTTGAACGGTCAGGATCTGAACACAGATCTTACCATGCCAGATCTCCAGTACATTCCAGCTTGAAAAAGTCACCAGTGAAAAAGAAGAATTAAAAAAAAAAACTCCCAACAAACAAAAGTCCTGGACAGGAAAAGTGTTGACAAGAATGTCGAGAGAAGGGAACCCTCGTGCACTGTTGGTGGGAATGCAGACTGGTGTATCCACTGTGGAAAATAGTATGGAGGGTCCTCAAAAAATTAAAAATGGAACTGCCTTATGATCCAGTGATCCCACTTCTGGGTATATATCTGAAAAAACCCAAAACACTAATTTGAAAGAATATATGCACCCCTATATTCACTGCAGCATTTTTGACAATAGCAAAGATGTGGAAGCAACCCAAGGGCCCAACAATAGACAAGTGGATAAAGAAGATGTGGTACATACATGCAATGGAATATTACTCAGCCATAAAAAAGAATGAAATGGCACCATTTGTGCCAGTATGGATGGACCTAGAGAGTATCATGCTAATCCCAAGGATGTGTGAACAAGAAGTGAACCAGTCTACAAGAAAGGGTGGAAAGGAATCTTGAGACCTTAATACTAAATGAAGTAGTTGGGGGCGGGGGGATTCCCTGAGATTCAAACCAAGTCTCGAAAGCATGTCTGCAGTCCACATTCTCATTTCCTCTTACCTGGGAGATCAGACATTCAGGTACCTGGGAGTTTGCGAGGCTCTGACCAATAGAAATGTAGACTTAATAACAATCTATAATAAATGTGGTAAAATGCTAGGATTTCCCCAGCATACTAAGAGCAGTGGTTCTCAAATTTTAGTGTGCTTCATACTCACTGAAGAGTTTGTAAAAACACAGATTGCTGGGCTCCACCCTCAGAGTTTCTCATTCAGCATGTCTAGGCCAGAGCCTGAGAATGTGTATGTCCAACAAGTAGCCAAGTGACGCTGAAGGACAACACTCTGAAACCACTACTGTGGAACTCAGTGTTGTCTGCACAGTGGAATCACCTGCATGGCTTTAAGAACTACAGAAACCTGCCTCCACCCCAGAGGTTCTGGTTTATTGGTCTGGGGTGCAGCCTGCACACCAGATTTTTATAGCCCTCGGGGAATTCTAATGTGCCGCCAAGGTTGAAAACCACTTCTCCAGAGATTGTCTGAAAGCTCAGGGAATTGGAAACATTGAAACGGTTCTACAAAGTGCAACCTGTCCAACCCCCCTCCCAGGTGGGCCTGGAAAACGTGCCTGGGTGGGGTGGGGGAGCACCGGCACCTTGGAGAAGCTCTCCAGTGGCTGAGTCTCAAGACAGGCCAGAGTTGACAGTGGAAAACACAGACAACAGGACTGGGTTCTGCGATCACTGGGAGCAACGGGATTCGGGGAGAGGCCAATGGCAGTACCTCAGTGCGGGCACAGGCGGGCACAGTGAGTCACCGGGCAATGGAGTCCTGTGTTCTGACACACTGGAACATCACACAATAGTAAACTGACCATCACATCAGCCTACTGAATTGGTGCCTGGCATACAGTAGAAAATGTCTAGTTCCACTGGGCAGAAACCTAAAGGAGCTCCATATCAAGGATTTGCAGCCTCATATCCAGAACCAACCCCACGGCTGGTTCACAGACCCAGAGCTAGCTCCTTGACTAAGCTGCAGGGCCCTTCGAAAGAGGTCCCGACAAAGTGGCCACAGGTGAGTACTGTCAATCTTCCCCGACACTGTCCTTCCTCGGAGGTTCTTCTGCCACTTGCCATGCCATGTGACTGAGCACCGAGGAAAGGGAAAACCCAGACCCATCAAAGTTACTAGATACCGGCTCTGAACTTCAGCTGACCTCTGGAAACCTCAGGTGCCAGTGTACTCCAGTAGTCTGATTAGCTGCTTATCAAGGTCAGGTGCTACATGGAGTCTTAGCCAAATACATCTCCCATCTGTCCAGTGGGGCCACGGACCCCTCCTTGGTGACTTTCCTCATCCTAAACATGCAGTGAGAAAAGATACACTGAGTAACTGGCAGGATCCCCACAATGGACCCCTGTCCAGTGGACTGTGGACTATTCAGAGTAGGAACGGCCAAAGGGAAAGCCCCTGGCACTGGAACACCTACTCTGCCTGCACACCCACTGACAGTAAACCCAAAGCAGACTGTATCCAGGGGGCTCAATGACTGGGGATCAGCGCCACCAAGGACAAGAGGTGCGGGGACTGTGATTTCCAGCACAGCCCATTCAACGTGCCTGTTAGCTCAGTGCGGAGGCCACACGAGCTGTGGAGAACTGCTATGGGTTACTGCACATTTGCTCAGGCAATGATGCCGCTGCAGCTACAGCTGCAGACGGACACCTCTGCTAAAGCCCCTGGCATCTGGTATACTTTCCTTTCTATTCTAGTCAGTGAATAAAATCAGAAGCAGTTTCTACTTGCTGAATCATTCCTAAATCAAGTCTCCCACTCTGTCATAACATAGTCCAGAGGGATCAACTCGATAGTCTTCAGGACATCATACTGCCTCATTATACTGATGACAGTACGCTAACAGGACCTGGTGGGCAGCACCCGAATCGCATGCCAGAGGCTAGGAGGTGAATCCTGCAAAAGTTCCCGGTCCATCACATCGGTGAAGTTCCTAGGAGTCCGGCACTCTTGGGCATGTGATGACAGTCCTTCTAAAGTGAAAGAGACGCCACTGCACCTTGCATTACCCACCAGGGCATGGAAGCCCAGTGACTGGCAAGCCTGTTAGGATTTTAAAGGCTCTAACCCATTTACTGACCATTGATGAGGCCACCAGCTTTGAGAAGGGCCCAAGAAAGGGTTCTGCAGCAGGTCCACGCTGAGGTACCAGCTGCTCTTCCAGCTGGTCCTTGACCCAGCAGACCAGTGCTGGGACTGCCTGTGCAGACGGGAATGCTACCTACAGCCTGCGGAGACCCCAGTGCAGAACCAGCACAGACCCCCAGGGCTGTGGAACGAGGCCTCGTCCTGCCCTCTGCCAACAACTGTTCTCCATTTGAAAAGCAGCTCCTGGCTTGTTGCTGGGCCCGGAATGAGATGAATTCCTGACCCTGGAATACTATGGGACGTGACCTGCTCATCAGGAATTGGATGTTACCATAAAATTGGTTTCACATAGTAGCATTTTATTTTAAAACTGAAATGGCACGTACAAGCCTGTGCCAAGCAAATTCACTCGCTCACATGGCATCTGCTCCCACTGCTCGGCTGCCTCTCCCTCAACTCATACCCGTGACCGACTTGCTTGGGAGTTCGGGGCGCACACACCTGGTCCACACCTGGATCTGCATAGTAAGTCGGCACCCACTCCACTGCAGCCCACTCACAGGGGACCCACAAAGCCAATGGTGAAAGCACGTCCTCTGAGTGCACAGAGCTTTGGGCAATAAACAGACAGAATAAGGGATGAAACTAGACCAACTCAAAGGCAGTAGCTAATAGGCTAGCCAAGGGGTCAAACACTTGGAAAGAACAAAATTGTACTTAAAAAAAGAAAAGTGGGGAAGGTAGGTATAGACAGAGCTCTTGAATGGGAACAGAACGTAAAGACATTCCTATCCCACCCGCTGGAGGAACAGAACCACCCTTCAGATGCCAGTCAACATCCTTCACCGGCTGCGCCGGTGCCTGCCCGACGGGGCCCTGGACAGACAAAGCAGCATGAAGGTGAGGACAGGGGCTATGCATGGGTTCAACAAGATGGACTTCCACTCGCCAGCGTGGACGTGGCTGCTGCCACTGCTGAGTGTCCAACCTGCCACGGACAAAGGCCAGTACAGGCCTTGATGTCACTCCGTTTCCTGGGGGCCCAGCTGGCCATCCAGGGGCAGGCTGATTACACTTTAATCTCTGGTCTCAGGGGGGATGTTCTGTCCTCACAGGAACAGATGCCATCCCAGGTACGGATTAGCCACCCCTGCCCCCGCACTTGTGCCAACACCACCGTCCATGGCACTGCCCCTTTCAATCCACCTCCCAAATGCAGCTCCTCTGGGCCCAGGAACCACACCCACCCCACCGTCCTCTTTGCAGCAAGAGGTAGAAACAACCCCACCGCTCCTGCCCATGGATGACTGCTCTGTCCTTCGTGGCAGTCTCCCCTGTGCAATGACCATCACTGAATTACCCCACTTTGAGAATACCAGGTGTTAGCGACCGTGACTTAGCTAACCGCCCTCGAAAAGCTTCACTTTCCATTTTGTCCGTAAGGGCTTGTGAAAGCAAGTGATACTGGAAATGACAGCGTCCACCCCAGGAGCTGGGGCTGTCCTTTCTTTCTCAGAAAAGAAGGATATTGGATCACCAATATCATGTACTTTGACCAATGAATAAGTTATAAGGTTTCATTTTGAGTAGCAGCCTTTCAAGCCTTCACAAACTATTAGTTTTATAGTTTTAAGAAATTTTTTTTTTTTTTGCTCAAATTTACCACAAAAAAAAAAAGAGAGAGAGAGAGGAAAGAAACTGTTGAAATTGCTGGGAACAATGGATTCACACCATCTCAGTATCAGAGAATCAGCCTCTGAACGCTGCCCTTGACCCTCCATCCAGCAGTGATGTTCGCCAAGGCAACTGTGTGGCAGTGGCCAAGGAAGGGCAGTTCAGAGAGACCCTTGCAGTCTGCAGAGGCCTCGGTCTGGAATCTACCCGCAACGATGAGAACGG